ATGCCGACTGCAGCTTCCAAAGGTATTGAAGCAAAAACCTTACAGTTTTGATGTAGATACTCCTGTTCTGATCGGTGAAACCTTTCATTTATGGTTGGTTTCCATAAAACAGTGTTCTAGATGTGTGTAATGAATTGATTATGGTATTTTAGGACTTTTATTTCAGTGTGTTTCTTTATCTTCCTTTTTTTTGTCCTTCAAAAGAATTTTGGAAGTAGTGAAAAGATTATAACAGCTACATTTACTGTTCTGTTCCAGTAGGACCAGTACTTTGGTCTTTTGTTGCATCAAATTGGTTGAACGTGTCCATTGTGTTCCATCCTCAGGCAAGAAGAACAGCAAGCCCGTCTTCATATCCGAAGTATATCCAGAATCGGAATTCAATCCTACCCGTGATGTTCTGGAGGGTGATGGTCGCATCACAATCGAAGATCTTCTGGAGCCTCTTCAAGGAAACTCTGCATTTAGCGAAATCAGAAAGAGGATCTCGGGTATGAAAAAAGATTCAATATCTCTCAGTGCTCCTTTACCGAAGCCAGAACGGGAAAGACTGGAGCGGAAGGCAGTGAAAGAATTAGTTGCAAAGGAGTTCAATAAATGGGTGCCCCTGGTAAAGAAAAATAGGGAGGCACCAACTGTTTATTTTAACCAAGATGTCGATGTAGGAATTTCAACTGTTGGTGCAATAGCATCAGAATTTGAACCCCGGACAGAGTTTGAGAAGAAAATGGCATCTGTGCTCCATGATGACAAAGTTCTAGAGGCTCATAAGGAAGATGGTGCCCTACTTCTTGAAATGAATGAGGCATGTTCTGTTACTTAATTCATTCACTGGAGGCACCTTATTTGGCTGAGAAATCTGATCCATTCTGTGAATTGAAATTCATTCCTTATTTTAGTTGTATGGTATGAGGCTGCATTGAAGAGAACAATGTGAATTTCTGATATATTTTTTTTTCCTTGATAAAATTTGATGCGGCAGATGTCTGTGGAAGATCATATAAAGGACCGCGATCATATTGCCAAGATGCGGAGCCTCCTCTTCCGGCACGAGCTCAAAAGTAAACGGATCAAGAAGATCAAGTCTAAAACTTATCATCGCCTTAAAAATAAAGATAAGATGAAATCGGCAGTCGATATGTTAATGGACCCAGAAATTGCGAAAGAAGAGGCAATGAAACAGGATTTCAAACGGGCAGAGGTGAGTTCTTAATTTCTTTGGTCCCTTGCAGATGTCTTGCCCGTTAAACATTGTTGTTAATTAACTCAATCATAAACTGTTGTTGTGTACACTTATAATGTGCTATGCAGGAACGTATGACACTAAGGCATAAAAACAAGTCAAAGTGGGCCAAACGTATGATAGATCGTGGACTGAATGTTAGAGATGAGGGAACTAGAGCAGCTATAGCTGAACAATTGCAGATGAACACTAATTTAACCAGAAAGATGAACTCTATGAAAGATGAAAGTAGCAGCGATGAGAGCGATGATGAAGAAGAATTCAATGATGGTTTAGATGAGGATAACGTGTCCAAATTGTTAGCAAAAGCAGAGGAGAAGACTCTCAAGGCTGTGGAAGATGAGGGTGAATTGCCTGCCTCTGGTGTTATGTCTTTACCTTTCATGGTAATCCTTTCCTCTACCTTTCTTATTAACTATATCTCATTTATTATTTTATTACTTCTTTCGTTAGACTGGTCTTCCTTTCTTTGGTTTAACTAGGTACGTGCAATGAAAAAGAGGAATGATGAAGCTGTTGAGGAAGCTAAACATGCACTTGAGGTGTATGGAGAACTCAAGAGTGCCGATGGTGCTGAAAATGCTGAAAAAAGCATGACTGTTAGTGGCAGAAGGGTATTTGGTGCGGCTGGCAGAAAGGAGGCTCCGAAAGAGTTGAAGAAGAAAGAGTCAGATAACTTTTATGACACCAGTGACAGCGAAAATGATGTGGATGACAAAGAAGATGCCGCCAACTTCGGGGTTGAAAGAGATGATGCGCTGGAAAAGGAAGCTGATATTGATGAAGTTCTACCTGCTGGAAACACTGAGGTGCTTCGCTTTTACATTCAGTTAGTCTGTTGTTATGTCTCTTTTGTTCTCTCCGAAGCCTTGATGACAATGATCGTTCATTTGGTTTCCAGAAATTTGGTGATGATGTCGGGAATCCAGCATCCAAGACAACTTTTGATGTTGCGATATTTGCATCTGGCTCTTGGAAGAAGGTGTGCTTTATAATCAAATCCATTTCTTTTTGTACTTCAGATTCAGTTTCCCTACGCAGAATTCCTTTATTTTTGTGCAATGAGCAGGTGAAAAATGGGAAGAAAGCTGATGCTGCAAATAACAAACAACCATCAAAGAAGACTGTACGGGCTTTGCAGGGCCAAGATAAAGAGGTTCGAAGTTAACAAAATTTTGCACCATTCCTTTATTTTATTTTGTACATTTCATTCAGTTTTAGTTTTTGGTCTTTTTTTTTCCTTCACTTTGTGTTGCTTGGAAATGATGAAGGAAGCAAGCGATGAAGAAAGTGGGGATTCAGACACGGAAATGGGACAAATGGTTGATGGGGTTATGTCTTCAGTCCGAGAGGATAAATATGAACTCCCTTCTCAGGCGGAGCTTATGCGCCATGGTTTTGCCGGTGATGACGTTGCAGATGAATTTGAGAAGGATAAGCTGGAGATATTAAACGAAGAAAATCCAGAACCCGAAAAGCCAATTCTAATTCCGGGATGGGGCCAGTGGGCCCATATCCAACAGAAGAAAGGTTTGCCGTCATGGATGCTGAAGGAACACGAAGATGCGAAAAAGAAGAGGGATCAAGCTCTCAAGAGCAGGAAGGATGCTCGTCTCAAGCATGTCATCATATCGGAAAAAATCGATAAGAAGGTCAGTTGCTCACGGATTTTGCTATGTTCACTAGAAACTAGTAAGTATTCATCTCCGATGTAATAAATATATGCCATATGCTTGTGGGTGGCAGGCTGAGAAACTGCACACGAAGGCATTGCCTTTCCCTTATACATCAAAGGAAGTGTTTGAACAAAGTATCCGAGTACCCATTGGACCAGAGTTTAATCCAGCGACCACTATTGGAGCTCTGAACCGGCCCGAGGTCTGTGCGCTTTTACTGTGGTTATGTTTAAATTCCCTTCTTCCCCACAAATGGGAACTGTGAGAAAGATAACTTGCGAAGAAGTGTTCCCGTTGGTTTAACTCTCGAGAGCCTGTCCACACATCACTCACGCAGGTTGTGAAGAAACCGGGGGTGATGATAAATCCAGTTAAGTACGAGGAGGTGAATCCACACGAGAAAGATGATGACCGGCGGCCTCGAAACAAGCAGAAGCAAAAACCGGTAAAGGGTAAAAGCGGCAGAGGCAAAAACAAAGCCAAGTCGAAGTAAAAGCAAAGGCTCCGGTCATAATGCAGAATATTTCTACTGAACAACTGGTCATGTTCAAGTTATATCAGCAAAGCAAGCAGTATAGGTATTACGGAGGCATTGGCAGCAGAAGCCACGAAGAAATCTTCCTAGCAAAAATCTTTGCTGTTGTTTGTCCATCGAATTTTGATCCCTGTAGCCATTTTTTGTTATAATTTATTACCTTTGCATTGGTTGAGAGCCACAAAGAGTAGAGGTACTTCGATCCTCTAAAGGGCATAACTGTTTTATGAGTCATTTTTGTCATTATGATCGCTGAATAAGACAACCTAGACAACCCAAGTTGGGAATCGAAGAATATGCCTGATTGCAATGACATGCGGAACCCACGTTTTGGTTTCGTGTTTGGGGCTTGGGGGGGGGGGACGAGACATTAAAATAAGATTATTTCATCTATAAGGAGAGTTTTTTTTTTAAAAATGATCATTGGCGCTAAAAAAAAAGAAAAGAATGGGCCGTACGAGAAGATGAGTAGGCTCATTGTGTCTTGGGCCGAAAATGGGACTTAATTAACCCTCCCGATCCGGCCCAATACATTTTAGAACTACAATCAGAAACTTTCCTACGCGCACTCATAGCGCGTGACTGTCACCGCCCCGGAATCCGCGGACTATAGTCCAGGGATTTTGCTTATTTTATTAATTTATCGACGATGAGGCGCGTGAGAGCAGAATTTGAGGCGGGTGGGTATTGTGCGGGGCTGGGGGGGGGGGGACGAGACATTAAAATAAGATTATTTCATCTATAAGGAGAGTTTTTTTTTTAAAAATGATCATTGGCGCTAAAAAAAAAGAAAAGAATGGGCCGTACGAGAAGATGAGTAGGCTCATTGTGTCTTGGGCCGAAAATGGGACTTAATTAACCCTCCCGATCCGGCCCAATACATTTTAGAACTACAATCAGAAACTTTCCTACGCGCACTCATAGCGCGTGACTGTCACCGCCCCGGAATCCGCGGACTATAGTCCAGGGATTTTGCTTATTTTATTAATTTATCGACGATGAGGCGCGTGAGAGCAGAATTTGAGGCGGGTGGGTATTGTGCGGTGCGCTATGCTCCTTCCAGTTATTTATTTATTTATTTATTACCTTTCATTTAAAGTTTCGTCTCTTAGAAAATAATAAAAGTCAGAATGGACAATATATGTTGGGTAGGTACAGGTACCACCGGCTCCTAATCTGAATAAACATTATATGGGCTTTGAATTAAAAGCTGGGTCAAGTGATCTTATAAGGTCCAGATTTTATAATGAACCTAACAAATATTTAAAAATTTTAAATGAACGATGATAGTCGAATTTATTAAAATCGGTATTCTGATAAATTGCAACTCTCGGTTTTACTAGATTAATTGTATATCGTTTCCATAACATTTAATATTCCATAAAATTAAGAATATTAGAGATTTTGGGTAGAGATATATGGTTTACAATCTTATAAGTTATAACAATATAATACAATTTAAAAATCTAATCGAATAATAAATTATGAATAAATAAAATATTTATACAAAGTAAAATAAGATAAAATTTTATGCTATTACCATTAATATTATGATAAATTTGCTTTGGTCTTATGCAGTTATTTCATTAATTGATTAGTTAATTAATATAACATCACTTCATTCCAAAGACCAGGTACTTCGAATTATTGTGCGTGGGTCAAAAAAATGCAACTAATTAAGATCCGTATGATATATTTTCTCTTCTTTTCAATTTCATTTAATTAAATTTAAATTTTCCGACATACGTAACATCACAGGCGAAGAAAAGAAGAGATGATCGGATAAGAAGAAAAGAGCCGCCCACAATCACACACTGGTACCAGGGAGCTACCATGGCGGAATCCGCCTTCTCCGTTCTCTCTGAAGACCTAATCTTGAACATCTTCTCCAAGCTCCAAGACGACCCCAGAAACTGGGCACGCCTCGCCTGCGTCTGCACCAGGTTCTCCTCAATTGTGCGGACCATCTGCTGGAAATCGCACTGCTACGCTACCATCCCCTCCGTCGTCTCCGATCTTCTTTCCTCTCCCTCCGCCGCCACTTCCTCCTCCGCAGATCCTCCTCTCTTAGGCGGCTGGGCCTCCCTCCATAAGCTCGCCGTCTCCTGCCCTGGGCTCCTCCACGCTGGCGTCCTCCTCGAGAACTCCGATTTTGGGCTGGAACGCGAGCTCGGCCCCGACGAGAGCCTCCGTCTACCCGACCCGAAATCTGCCCCGGCGGATCCGACCAGAAGCGACTGTGGTAACCCGGAATCCGGCGGATCTGGGTTGCAGACATCTTCTATCTGGTCTCTGTACGACGATCTCTATTACGACACTCTACCGGCGTCGCCGGAGTATACCGCCGCTGATTGCGACGAAGTCGTCGGAGAAACCGACGCCGGAGAGATCCGACCCGGTCAGGATGTCTCCCAAAAGAAACGGCGGAAGATCTGGCGATCTATAGGATCTCATCTGTCCTCCGGCGCCTGGAACCTGAGCCGGGAACCGGGCAACAAGCTACTCGCGAGCAGATTCCGCGACGACTGCCTCTATATCTGCGATTGGCCAGGATGCATCCATGTCGAGGAGAAGCGGAGCTACATGTTGTTCAGAGGCGTTTTCAAGAACTTCAAGCATTCCCGTGTGTGGAGAACCATAAACGACGGAAACCGGCGGAAGATAGCGCTGAAATGCGCGTTTTGCACGTGCAATGAGACATGGGATCTGCATTCAGCCTTCTGTCTGAGAAGGGTCTTCGGGTTTCATGACGATGGTGAACCAGTTGTCCGAGCTTATGTCTGTGAGAATGGACATGTCTCCGGTGCATGGACGACTTTGCCTCTGTACACCTGAGCTGAGGTCTCTGTTCTCTTATCCTTTGGCCTCGCGCTCTTTAGTTCTTCCGAAATGTGGTCTTATTATTATTGTTGAACGATTGCTGCTTTCCTCTCATGTTCGACTTAATCACTCTTTTTCATGTTTTTACATGGAACAATTGGCTGCAATTCATGTTGTAATGGTGGCTAATTTTATCTGATGGGATTGAATTTCATTGTTATCTGTACTTTGCATCTTCCTTTTGGTTCAGAGAACTACAAGGCAGAAGAAGAAACTTGAATATGAAGGGAAGTAGGGAACATATGGATATCGAGGCAGTTTTAATATCATGAGATTTTTGTTAAGAGAGAGATTAACGTGATCATGTTTATGAGAGATATAATTTGCAGTTGCAGGTATTTGGGTTTTGGTCCTTGTTCTATCAGGATCACTACTCTTGGCTTGTCGGATGCTGCTGGTAAAGCTAACATTTACGTGTACATAGAGATGTCAAGTGATAGTGAGTGTTGTGTTAACAATGCGTGCAAGCGATGAATAGAGTTCGGTACCAACCTCGTAAGAAGCATGACCACTTTAGATATGGTATGAGCAAGCTCTACTGCCTTTTGCTACATCATGCGGAACACATGTTATTGCATGCAAGTTGGATGATCTCATATATTCTTCTATACTGTATTTGCTAACCGAGACTTCTACAAAAGAACCACAGAGTTAAATAGGTGCCCGGGTATTAGTCTTATATTTGCATACAATAAAGGATCTAAATTTAACCAAAGAATAGTCCAAGTCCTTACCTTGAATATCTCAGTGCAGAGATTTAGCTGCTGAGTGAAGATTTCTTAGTGGTAAGAATACAGTGCGGCATTCGATATTACTCTCTTAATGTTGATTTCTGTCTTCGTTACGATGATATCGTCTTTACATTATGCTCGTCAGCTTGTCACAGGTTTTCGCATTTTCGGTTCTTTTCTCCTCTTGTTTGACAGAAGCACCTGCAACTTTCAGGCAGTTAGAGGATCCCAGATGGTTTGATGCTTAGTTTTTTATGTGCTTTCTTTCACTAACTCGTTTGCTGTCTCTGTGTAGACGTTTTAGGTGTAGACTCTCGGGCATAATATGGTGTATTTCTGTGTTATATTCACGTTAATATTGACTTCACAATCGACAAGATAACCTGCACAGTTTATGTGTAGAATACGATTCATATCTTGATACCAATATAGGTCGAATCTGAGAAAACCTAAACAAGGATTAGGCCACATGTGATGGATTTGGGTTAATAAAATGGTCTAATGAGGGACCAGGAGCTGATACTTTGAAAGCAACAGAACAGGAGCGAATCCCATATGGGGGGTTCCTTATCTTCCATCTCAACCACTAGTGAAATCCTGTTTTGTCCTCTTCTTTTTCTGGCACTTCTCTGTCTTGTCGTTTTATACATATGTTTATGTATAAATATCTCTGTTCTCTCTGTGTGTGTGTGAAAGTATATCAAGAAACGACAATCTTTTTTTTCCTTCTCTGCATGGCGTCTTCAGATTCTCTTCTATTGAAGGTGACAAGTTTCTTCCTGCTTACTCTAGCCGTTACCGTAAGATCAGAGACAGAGCCACTGTGTGGTCATCACTACAAGTCGATCATCAGCTTTGGAGATTCTTTAGCAGGCACTGGGAACTTACCACCCTGCTCGTTGTGCCTTTCCTCCCTACGGCGAGACATTCTTCCACCGTCCCACTGGCCCCTTTTCCAATGGCCGTCTCATCATCGACTTCATTGGTACATGTTCTGTTTTTTTGTGTGTGTGTAATGTGTACGGTCATAAGAGAAAAAAACCCAGAGATTTTTGTGTGTTATTGAGATTCGTTACAGCTGAATTTTTGGGGCTTCCATACGTGGCCCCTTTCTTTGGATCTCGGAATAGAAGCTTCGAGAAAGGAGTTAACTTTGCAGTGGCTGGAGCAACAGCATTGGATTATGGTCAGAAGAATCGCAGTTTGGGAGATCAGTTGAGCAGCTTCAGGCAGATTTTGCCAACCCTATGTGGCTCAGCTTCTGGTATCTCACATGATTTCACTTTCTGTTTATGTCCTTTTTCCGGGTTTGTGACAACTTATGGTGATGTCGTGTCTCAGATTGCAGAGAATATATCAGCAATTCGTTGATCCTCATGGGAGAGATTGGAGGGAATGATTTCAACCACCCCTTCTACGCAGGCAAAAGCATCAAGGAGATCAGATGGCTGGTCCAGCCCGTGATCAACGCTATTTATTCGGCAATCTCAGTAACATGCTCTCTCAGAAACAACGGCTTAATATCATACATTGTTCTTTCAGAAGATTCATAGGGATGATGACTCTTGCAGGCCTCAAAATGATTTCAGGAGTTGCTTGATATGGGCGGCAGAACATTTTTGGTACCGGGAAACTTTCCGATTGGGTGTCTTCCGCCTTACCAGACATTGTTTCAGAATTCGGACAAGGGAGATTATGATCCTTCCACAGGATGTTTGAAATGGCTCAACGAGTTTGCAGAATACTATAACGAAGAGCTTCAGGCAGAGCTCGACAGAATCCAGAAGTTCCATCCTCATGCCCTCATTGCCTATGGCGATTATTACAACGTTGTGTTACGTTTTTTCCAAGAACCAGCCAGCTATGGTAAGCTAACTTACTCAGTTCTATGTCGAAAGTACTTGATCTGAACTCGTCACATATCGCTTTGATACACCGATTTGGTGAGGACCCATTTCATAGTTCAGTCCAAGCTCATGAAGTATATGCATCATTTCCTTGAACATGGATGTATATATCGTATGGATCGCTACATATTGAATTGGTATGGTACAGGGTTTATGGAACATGGATGTATATATCGTATAGTTCAGTCCACTCCTTCAGCTGTTGCTGTGGAGTGGGAGGGCCGTACAACTTCACGTTGGACAGAATGTGTGGGCTGAAACGGGTGAGCCACTGCGAGGATCCATCAAAGTATGTGAGTTGGGATGGGAAACATCTGACCGAGTCTTCTTACAGATGGATCGCCCATGACTTGCTCCTCCACCCCCCCTTCACACTGTTAGGCTCTTTATCAAATTCAGACCACCTCAGTTTCAATCTTATTTCATGTTTGTAAAACCAATTAACCTGTCTATGGGGTAAACAAGATTAAGAATAAGACCAATACTATGTGAGGATTGTGATTATGAACATTATGTTTTTTTCTATCATGGACACTGTCGGTCTCTACGTGTTGGTAATGCTCAATAATTGCAACAAGTAAGTTTGCATAAACGTGAAAAACATTCGTCATGGTGGTGTGGGAATTGAAAGCACGCAGCTTTCCTCTTAAAAAAAAAAAAATCAATTTCGTAATAATTGATAAGGACCCATCTCACCATGGTCCCAAACAAGTTCCTGAGAGGCACGCTAACTCCAAAAGCTATCTTACAAGGCATCACCAACCAATGTGGTACTTACTACTTAAACCGATCGGTCGGTCGAATTATGTTGTTAAAGGGTTAATGGATAAACCCTTTAGCACGTGTGGAGGTGAGGAGGTCCATACACATTCACAATGGACATAATTCACCTAAAGTCTTCTCCTTTTGGTCTTCTTGTTTACAGAATCAGTTGAAGCTGAAGCCTTTCTTTTCTTCTGATGTTACCTGAGATTGTTCTTCTCATATGATTGTATTGCCATGGTGTGTAAGTCCACAAGTTTTCAACTTTTCCTATTCAGACCCGAGAAAAGGGTCTGTCCGCAGTTTTACAAGAAGAGGCTCTAGGGACAACACTCTAGGAACATGAAACAGGTAACCATTACAACATTGTCATGAGTTCAAACAGGAAGAGATGAGGATCAGGGACAAGTAGAGTCTTAGCTTGGAACTAACATAGGGTTCTTATCTTTGTGCATGTGATATCTTGAGCAAAGCTTCCGCAGAGCTGAAACCGTATGCTGCATCGCGTTTAGCTTTGTGTCCCGAGCCATGGCCTGCACCAACAGATTTAGAAGTTTGGAATATAAGTTTCGGGTTAAAACCCAACCAAAAGTGTAAGCTTTCAGAACGAACCTTGTAGTCATCTCTGTATTTTCCAATCAAAGAACTGATATGTTTGCGTTGCATAGTTGTCAGCGGCTGCAAAGGTGTGTGTTTCCCGTCTTTTCTCTGCTTCCCGAGCGCTGTCTTAAGATCTACGACACATAATGATACAGATCATGATAATTTAGTGAAGAGTACATAAAATCTGCAACAACTGTTTAGCGTCTCAAATGAATCTCGGGCCTCTCGAAGTGGTGAGTTTTCATACACATCAAACGTACGATGATGAGCAATCCATAGCTGATATCAACTTAAGAAAGAAAAGCTTGAAGCGTGATCCCTTCTGAATTCTAATGAACTCAGAAACACAGAGCTAAGGAGTTGTCTAAGCCCTAAACAGAGTAAAACGATTATCCATTGAGGGCACGAATCCTCAACACAAGTTATCTCCTTCAAATTACAATTAGCCGAATCAATGGAGGTCCATATCAACATTGATCATTCATCGCGTTAAATAAAGGTTAAAGCTTTAATCGAATGGTACGCTTGATTAGTTGTTGCCAGAACCTAACATCTCCAGCAAACTTGAATCTAACCAAGACATTGACCATGGATGTGAGCATAAAGAAACAGAGAGAAAAACGCACCGTCTTCCTCGAGATCGCTGCCGGAATCGATGGGCTGGAACTCCTTGACGAGAGGATCATCGGTCGGCGGCTCCGGTGGAGAAGGAACATTGAGAGAATCGGCCTCGACGAGATGGTCCGTACGCGATCGGACGCCGAGGAAGTTAGGATTAGAGACGACACCGAAGGACTTGTAGTTCTCAACAACACTGGCCTTGTCGTCCCAGGAAGGGAGATTGTCCGCCATTAGAGAGCGGAGCTTCGGCGGGAGGTTGAAGGCAGGCTTGAAGACATTAGGGTTCTTCCTCGGTAGCCCAACCTTTACCTTCGCCCTCGAATTCTTGTACTTTCTTCTCGATCTCCCCATCTCTCTCTCTCTCAGGGTTTTCCGATAATAAGAATCGCGGCGAGGGAGAGGGTTTAAGACCAGGGTTGTAGGAGACGAAAACGTCCTAACACGACGTCGTTTAGACCTAATTGTTTAAACCTTCTGAGACGGCGTCGTTTAGTAGTCAAAGAAACACGACCATAACAAGTCAAAACCCAAACATGCATTTGTTGTTCACAAGTACACCGAAAGCTAACAAAACAGAATGGTACTTTTGTTTCTTCCATGACTAAAGAAACTGTTGAACCTTTCAGCGAAGATTTACTGTAAAGGGTTTTTCAGACAAACTCCCAAGTTCGAAGCATCAGATCGGAACATGGTTAAAGGATGGCGTCAAAAAAGACAAACCCACCGACCCATAATGCGTCTTCTTTGTCTCGCCATCCGCCTCCTACGCAGTGGTCTTTCCTTCGGATTTAGCCTCTCCCGTTGCAGCCGCTTCCCCGTCTTTCATATCATCAGGCTTAGCTACTTCTTCTGCCGAAACAAACAATGTATCTCACAACTATCAGAAGGATGAATTACATACAGAACGACATCACAGTATGCATTTCAAGAAATTGAAACCCAGAGATGTCACTTACTCCATATGCTTTCCCTAAGTAAAGCAAACTACTCAGTCACCCAGAACCAGAATTAAAACTATGTCTGTTAATCGATAAGATTAAAGATAAAACTCCATGTAATTTTCAATGAATGTCTTTCAGCAATAATCCAACAGTATTTACCATCCTACTAGCCAAGAACAGCCGATAACATTTATCAAAAATGGTCTCAAAGACCCTTACCTTCACCGTCACTGTCCTCAAATTCATCCATTCCACCCATGCCTCCCATCCCACCAAGTCCACCTAATCCTTCCATCCCTCCGAGTCCACCTAAGCCTTCCATCCCTCCGAGTCCACCCATTCCACCACCACCGAAACTCTGAAAGGAGCAAACAACTCACATTGTTAATTGCTAAGATTGAGTTATAAAGACGGAAAGAATAATGGGTATAGTTTCAACACAGACCGAGAAATCCATTCCACCCAGATCCAGATCTCCCATACCTGAACCCAAAGTAAAAGGACAAGAAATTTAATGACTTTGAACTGAATATACTCCATTAGATATAGAGAATGCAATGCAAATAAGAAAAGATATGGTCCCTTAGTGCTCACCACCAGCGCCCTTTTCCTCATCCTCATCCACCCATTTGTCCCAATCAACCTTGACATAGTGCGGCGGCTTCCCTCCACGCAATAGCTTATCCCACCGTTTTGGCTCTGCTTTCTCCAAGATACAAAATATGTTTCTCACTCCGATATTGATTTTGCTGGCCTGGAAGTATAACGATATAAAATGGGCAGAACTAATCATGTAACATGAAACTAAAAACACTCGGTTATTGATATTAGAACGAGGAGATAGTATCAAAATCTCACCTCCACATTGACTTTGTCGTGAAGTTCAAGTTTGAGCTCATAGAGGTGGTTTTCGGGTCCAGCATTGGCCGAGAAAGTAAAGACTCCCTCTGGATCAAGATTGACTTTTGCATCCTTAGAATCCGGCAATTGTACTGTCAGGAAAATCTTGTCGGTTCGTTCGGCCCACTTCACTTCTGGATGACGACTGTAAATGCATAAAAAACAATGAACTTGAGAGGCATAGCAGAGCAAACAGCTACAGGAGATCCTCACATTCACTGCAGTCTGCAGGTTTTGTGGAAAAATATAAAAAAGACGACCCCCATAATTTTTTATCTTCTAGGGTCAAGGAGAACAACCCACAGCCGTTTGCATCCCCTTAACAAAGAAAGAACCGTGAACATTATAAAGTAATATTAAACCCTAGGCATCGAGCCAAAACCCTAAATTATAATTCTCCAAGCCTCACACCTCAACGCAGAAAAAAAAATAAGAACTTAAAATAATGGATAATCTCGAACCGGCACCATAAACCCTAATAAGGTTCATCCGGAAAACCATAGGAACCCCAAAAACCGGCATTTCCAGGGAGCCCTGAGAAAGTATAAGTCCACATCCAGCAGAAAATTCGCAAACTACCCGTCACCAAGAGAACTCATAGCAGCAAAAAATAAAAGACTCCAGACGAAAGAGTCCGAGAAGCCAGATTCATCGGATCGAAGGTTTCAAAACAGACATAGAGTATATCAGAAAGAGAAAAAGAAAGAGGATTCCTTTTTACCTCATGGCTTACTGGAAACAGAAGGAACCTGTGTTCTGCGGAACCCTAGAAAAACAGTTCAAAACGATGACTCGAATTTAATTTATTTTGATCGAGAAATGTTTCTAGTACACTCTAGATAGATTGCGCTTATAGCACTCAAGAGATAATCCGGTACTAGCTACTCTCTTTTAGACAGGCGGGCCACGAGGAATTAACGGTGAGATTTACGTGGGGAGACTTTGAACGGTTCAGATTTATAGTTTGGTAGATACAACACAAATACATTTTACTTGACAAAAACACCCGCCTTTACACCACAGCCAAACCGTACCCAAACGAATCCCATTTTAAAAAATTCCAAAAAACAAAATTTATCTTTTTTTTAATAAAAATCGGAACCTAACCTAACATATTGATATCTATTTTTATAAAACCGAAAAAATCAAATCGATACATTCTCATCCCAAATCCGAACCGATTAATGGATCAGAAATATCAAACTACCATCATAAAGTGTCAAATATCTGCAATCTTACTTGATATTGGTCTCATATCAGATTCTTTAACCTTGGCATGATCTTACATATAAGAGAGATTATCCAACATGATGCAGAAAACACAAACAATAACATCTCAAGGGAGAGACAAGTGTTCATCATCCTTCTCTTCTTCCCCCTTGGAAGAGGGATAACAACAAGCTGAGGTTATTGTTAATCCATCGACAAAAGCCATGAGAAGAGCTGGGTCTAGAAAACGACAGTGTCCAGCATAGTTCCAAGTGTCTGGACGATGTTGGAAGACATCAAGTTGGAGACATGCTCTTCAAGGTGCTTCTTCGCATCTTGCCTTCCAACGTTTGCAATCGCCAGTTTCTCCGGTGGCAATTCGTCTTCCTCTTGTACGGCCTTGTTGTATTTGATGGCTAAGTTCAACATCTCCTGTTAAAGCCACATATAAAAAATATGCCATCATCAGCTTATTATATGCATGTCGAAGTTGAAACTGATCAGCGTATGTTGTTCAAAACCTAAAGCTTGACACTATATACAATGCTTGAATGATTGATGTACCTGAACGGTCTGTTCATTTGTTTTGGAGTGGGTGTCAAACCGTCTTAGTGTCAGACCATCTGTCCATTTCTTCTTGTGGAGGTTAAGCAGCATCTTCTCCTCGAGCTCGTTCTTCCTATAGTTTATGGCTATGGAGTAGTAATGTCTGTTCAACCCATGAATCAAAGCCTGGAAATATTGCATAAGCTATAACATCAGATAGATCCTTATTTCATCTGAAACAGAAAAAAAATTCGCTCAATCTATAATCTCACCTGGATTGACGGTTTATTCAGGTGGCCAAGGTTTGATGTTGTTTGTCGGGGTTCTTGGCCAAGCATCATGGTTTGAGGATTTATCAGACGGAATGCATCGATCACAACCTTCCCTTTGACACTCTGGATTGGATCTACCACCACTGCTACAGCTCGTTGATTCAAAGCTTCAAAACTCTACAAGGACAGAACAATGACACCCAGCAAAACAAGGTCAGAACCCAGTTCGTGCATACTTCAAAAAACCTTACCGATAGATATCTTATCATCATGCGCAGCGCAGGTAAACAAGTTCAGTTTGTTCCTGAAACTAAGGCCTATAGAAGTTATTTAGTTCCTTGATGCAATTACATATATCCATGGCAAAGCGATTACTATGCAAAGATCAGTTATACGGTATAACTTATACCAACATAAAGCACAAGCAGGAAACATTCTACGACATGTTTATTGCTTATATAAAAGAACCTACGGAAGAAATGAACACATGCTGCAGAGAAGAAAAAATGTCTAACATATTCATCTATCGAGTTTCACATGGCATGCAGAAACATATGACCAATCAAATTGCAATAAGTATATGTAGACCGATACAAACACCCGAGGAGTGAAAAGTTATCAACCAGTTTGTAGCCGTAGCAACAGTACCTGTTGTGTATTTATGTCAACACCAGAAAGCCAGCAGCCAAATCCAGGGTGGGAATGATACCAACCGACCACCATCTCAGGTCTGAAGTACAGAGATAAGAATACGATCCAAATACGCATCAGGATTCAGGCTGGGAAACTATCAAAACACACGAGGCCGGATTCTAAGAAAGCATAAAGAAGAGTACCTTCCAGTCTGTTTGAGCATGTCAAGCATATTAGTCTGGAAAACATGATCAACAGCTTCAACACTAACACCAGTACCACTCTGAGGCATGGCAAATACATCAACAACTCGAACAGTATACTCGTCCACAAACTCTCCAAGCATCAACCCCATAACCTCCATAGGAACCCCAGCTCTTCCTGTAATCCAAACCCCCTCAAAATCAACAGGGTTTCCATATTTACGCGAAATCGAACCTCTAATCAAGGGAATATTTCCTACACCGATACACGATTATCGCGGAAAATAACAAAATTATAGCCAGATCTATTATCTGGAAACCCTAGAGTCCCAAAAAACAACACGATAAGGCAGAAAAAGAGAGATCTTTCATGAGACAAACAAATCGAAATCCCCCTTCGGGAAAATCCAGAACTGGAACACAAAGGAAAAGGATACACGCGTGCATATAACGCGTATACGAGAGACATGTATATGCAGGGATTCAATGAGAGTCAAAGGATGATTACCATGCTTAAGCATCTTGAGGAGGGCGAGAGAAGAGATGTAGACCTGCTCCGACGTGTCGAGTGTCGGAGAATCAGGTGGAGGGTGGCCCAGACCGCTCCCGGCGCCGAAGATCCGCTGCAATCTCTCCATGGAAATGGGATTTTCTCTTCGTTCACTGGGTTTTTCTCGGTAGCCAAACAAGATATTATAAAAGACGGAGGAGCTTTCTTTGGGGACAAGACAGGTGAAAATGCCACCGATAATTTTTTTTTTCAAGTAAATATTTACATAAAGGTCCTTCGAAATATCTCTGTTTTCAACTTCAACCCCGTGAAAACCACAACTCGTTATGGAACCCAATTTTCTCGTTAAAGGCACTTGCTGGGCCATTTTTTTTTCCCTGAGAGAAATCTAACGACGATGGCCTGTATGCACAAGAAAAGAATCTGGTTTTCCCTGCAACGACATACAAATGGAAAACATAAGAGAATCCATCCACCAAGAAACATTAGAGATCATCATCCACGCCCGAAAGGTGCTGTTTTGAGATTGAATTTGCATATTTCAGTTCATAGAATGGATGGATGATCTCTTCCAAATAATTTACAAACAAAAAGAGGAATGGCTGGAGTGGAGGAGGCTGATGATGAGCAAATCAAGGAATGGCGGCAACATCTTCATCGGGTAGAGAATGTAAGGTTGTCAAGTCCACAAGATGCCGCATTGTAGGACGTCCATGCGGGCAATTCCAAGGCGACTCCAGCCCGGCCAAATGCTCTACTATCTGATCATATTCATCAACCCGACCCCATCAAAAATGATCAATCATGCGTGGAAGTAAGATAAAAATGCAAACATTTTTTTACTTTATTTTAAGCTTTTGTATGGCACCCTTACCTTCTGCATCTCATTCTTTCCCAATGGATCTCCAACCGTCACAGAAGATCTGCATGCACGGGATGCAAGCATTGCACGAACTCGTGATGGGCACACCGAATCTGTTTTGTTGGTTTTGTATCGACTGATAACGGAACAGTCCCCTTGGTTGTCTCCAAGTGTCGAGATTAGGTCTTTAAGATCTGCCCATCAAAAAACCGATACAAGAACGTGCCCTTTTCAGGAAAACATATAAGGGGTGTGTGGGAAACATAAGGAAAGAAGGAACTGGACTACCTTCGACACCAAAGGTAATATTCTTGCTAAAGGGAACAGCTCTTAGCCTAAAGTGGCATCCAGGGCGACCATTTGGATTCTCTTCTAAAATAAAGCCATTCTGCCTGTGAAATATTTGAAATCCGTTTTATTAATCCATAAAGTAGTATATATACACCAAACCTAGGAACAGAGTGGAATCAGTGGTAGGGTCTAGAAAACCAGATTTCAACTAAGAGAAATCGAAGATGGCATGAGGAAACCAAACAAACTTTATATAAACAAAATAAATGGGTGAAAGTCATTCACCTGATCACATCCATGTGCATTGAGACAGTGACTTCTTCTTCTGGAGCGAGCTCCAATCTCAGAGGCCTGATTTTAGGTTAGGAAGGCACAAACATGAGAAGTAAAAAACATAATGGCTGATTTTAAAATAAGGAAATAAAAATGGATAGCAAGAAAAGCAGGAAAAAACACATCCAGGTTTCCACAAGTGAGTGGTGGAAGAGAGATGTGACTGATCCAACATCTTTAAAACAAATATGGAGCCTGTTATGTGCTACCTCTGAAATTTGCTCAGCGTTACATGTTTTGAATATAGCCGGAGATTGACTTGATAATATATACCAAGCATTCTCTGAAAGCATTCAGTGTCAAAGCGAGACACTAGATTGATACCAGAAAGCTACTTACTGAAGCAAGGGCTGTTGATTCAAGACCGTTGACCTTGCTAAGTGCTCAAAGTTGAATTTCTCATCCGCAGCATGCTGATCATAAGTAGATCTCAGTATGAAACTTCAGGAATGCAGAAGAAGAAAAAGGAAGCTAATATTTTTTTCCAAGCCAACGGAAAATTACAGGGAGCATAGAAAAACGTTCACCTGATCAACAATGAATAAATCTTTGTCCAACTTTGCAATGATGAAGCCGAGATTGAACTGCCCAATCACCTGTCATCCAAAACCCTAAGTTTGTTGAAAATCTCTCTGTATTGAGATACATAGACTGAACAAAACTGGCCATCAACCACAGCACAATCCATTTTCATCATCAGATAGCAACCTGCATTCTCCTGAAATCCTCCTTTCTGAAAAGCCTTTCCAACTCAGAAGTGGCCGCAGCTAAAGCTCTTGCTTTTCGCTCTTCATTTTCTGGTTGAGAGAGCTCCAATGTAGCAGCAGCAAAACATCTGTAACTTATTTTACCAAGTCAACAGAAACCCTCACGGAACATTGTGTTTCTCTTGCTATGCAAAGAGAACAGGAAAAACTTGAAAAATGAAACCAATCTCACCTCCTCTGCTGGAGCATCTTCATGTTTTTAGATACATAACGTTTGTTCTGTAATCTCGAGAGTCTTTCTAACCTCCTCATCCGAAGGTCCTGAAAACTAAATTTTAAGGTGGAAAACATTTTTGGTCCAGAAGACTGGGCTGGAGAGTCCAGCATTGTGGCAACAGTTGGCAATGACCGACTGCCCCATGAATTGTCCTCCAAAATCCTTCCAAGTTCTTCCTCAACTAGTGTGTTGTCTGATATTGGATCTTTGAAGTGTGCAGATGTTTCATGCTTCTCTTCGTCCAGTAGATGTAACTGAGGCTGAATACATAAATTATAAGGTGACTTATTAATAGAAGGAACGACCATATCAAGCATAAAACAAAAAGGCAGCCTAACAACAAATAAACCAAAGAGAAGAGACATGCTTACTCGTGCTTCTCTCCTGATATTATCAGTACAGTCTCCAAGAGAATTTTGGTCTCCTAATTCATCAAAGGCAATCTCGGTTCTGCTAACCTTCGTGCCAACTGAACCATCAAGGTGACCTGTGTTCATCAGGCATCTAGCAGACAAAGCAGGAACTTCAAATACGCTTTTCTCAGTTGGTAAGTTTAGAGCCTGATTTCTCAGTACAGGTACTTCTGATAAGACGATACTCACATTTTGATGCTTTCTTTTCTTCACAGTAACAAAATCATTCAAACTTGACTGATTGCTTGAAGTTTTATTTACAGCAGTAACTTTCTCTTTCACTTCACTGCAAGACACAACTTGGGTAGTTGTCTTGCGAAGAGGAGTCGTAAACAGAATATTATCATGGGCAGAGACAGCATCATCCCCTTTCTTAATCCCATGTGTTCTATTCTCAAATTTAAACTTCTCCAGCATCAAATTGTTACCAACTTCATTATCAGAGCATTCAGCATCTATCTTGGTACTCCTCGATGGAGAAATTTCCTTTTCGATGGCCTCCTCTACATGGGTGCTCGGACCACTATCCAAAACAAACCCTTTTTCCAAGAAGTTTGATTTCTCAGGAGGAGATGCAATTCCTATTTTTTCTTCTAAATTGTCATGCTCCATCATTTTATTGACGATATAAGATGCATCATTTGCAGAATATATCTCATGCAAACCTTCCCTCAGAGAACAAATAATGGAGGTCTCATCCGAAATGAACACCTTTCTTTTATCAGGCGTGACATTTCGGTCACATGCTTTACCAGGCACGGTGAAATCCAGAATGGCAACTGGATATTGCCGAGAATTCGTGCCTTTATATAACTCATTCAACAACTTGCTCACTTTGGGCATATCCACAGGCCGGCCATTTACAAAGAAATATTGTCGATCAGTCAAATTGCGGCCACTACCCTGTCCCGGCTTGGAAAGAAACCCTTCAACTCTGCAATCCTCCGATAAACAAATATTTACTGGCTGCAGACATGTAAAGGTGTTAATGCCGAACACTGTTAAGATGTTATCTTTAAGGGAACCCCTTCCTTGTGTGTTCAGCACAACAGACTTTGGATTTTTTCCAGCCGTGTTGGAGCAGAGAAACCGCACTTCTTTTGCAATAAGTGCATATGCCTGTTCAAGAAGAAATAACAAATGAAAAAACTATCAAAGAAAGTCATTGACCGTAGCTGAAATGAAGATTGATGCAAAGTATAATGCTAATCCTAAGAATAGGAAGCTAAGCTAAAACCAATATACTCAGCTGTACAGGTATTTCCTAGTTTTCTGATCATTTGGAGAACCACAGTTTGAAACTACGAACCACAGCTGGAAGATGAGTAGCCATTATAAGAGAAAAAACAATTGCTTAAACATACCCAAGGACAAGAACACTGCCACTGGAGAATCGTAACCAATGTTATATGCTATCACGTAGACAAGCAAAAGATCACTTCTTATATAGAAAAGTACTATACCATCGCAGAGGATAAGCAGCTTACATTCAACAAAGAGACAAGTTTCCCATACTCTTTGCGTATATTGCGACTAAACTCTTTGCTTCGCACAGGTAAATTTGAGAACAACTTTTTGACAGTGACAGTGGTACCGATTTGACGTGCTGTCTTCTTCTCATCTATGAGCAAGCCCGAACGATCATAGGTCAAGTGTGTCGCCACTGACTCGTTTTTTGTCCTTGTCTCCACCGTAAGATTGCCCATGGCACAAAGTGAGCTTAATGCCTCTCCTCTGAAACCAAATGTAGTCAAGTTCTGGAGATCCGGGAAATCTTCCAGTTTAGAAGTATGGTGCCTAAGGGCGAGAACCTGCAGAGCCAAAGAGAGTAAGCAGACGGTTTGAGAATCAAAAGAGGTCGAGACATGACTTTGGAACCACAAAAGAAGTCAACTTTGAGGAACCGAATCACTTGAAATCGAAAACCCAGCATCGATTTCGTCAATACAGACCGATTATAAATCCGCGGAAGCTTCGTACTGTAAGAAATCATGGAGAACATCATTGCCGGATAGAGAACTAGCACTCTTCGTATTGTGAGAGCTATTAATACCTTGAAGTTGTTCGGTGAAATGCCGCAGCCATTATCAATGACCTGAAAGTACTCTTCACCATAGTCTTTGAGGTTGATTTCGATGCTGGTGGCGTCCGCGTCCAAGCTGTTCTCCACCAGCTCCTTCACAGCCGACGACAGGCCCAAAATGACCTGCCCGGCGCAGATTCTGCGAACCACGCTTCTGTTAATCGGCCTTATCAATGGAGAGCCACTTGCAGACGAACCCTCCATTTTCAAAACCCTAAAGGAACCGAATTCCCCCCATTTGAATCGAGGAACTCACAAGCTTAGTCACTCCTGGACTGCCAAAAAAAACCCTAGAGAGAGCAGGAGGTTATGGGGATGAAGATGATGTCTACGCCAATCCGTCGTCCGGACGGGCTTCAAAGGAATTAAAGAGAGAGAATCCCTACCTCTACCTATAATTTGCCGCCAAAAGTTAACGAAGCAAAGAGAGAGGGTCGGAAAACGCAAACGTGACGTTTCCGGAGGGTAGCGTCTGCGTTTGGGGAAACGCAAACGCCGCGTTTGAAGTTGGAACAGAGTGACGGTGGTACTGCCGAGAAGCAGAAGATTAAATGCGGCCGAACTAACGGATCAAAGCTTTTGTCGGAATCATTAGCCAACTGACCAACACTTGGGTTCATCACAAGATCCTCTGATGGATTAAAAAAGACAAAAAAGGAGAAAAATTTAGACCATAAAAAAAAAAAGATGAAGACTTTGATATTTGGATGATTTTCCCTAAAAGACCAGGCATGCCCCTTCCAGTCTCAGCATCACAGGTCTTTTCTAAGACGAGGTCCGTTGGAGTATCCTTAGGGTCAGCTGCAGAGAGAATTTGAACCAAATTTCAACAAAAATCATACTGTATTATAAACACATTCAAACCATGCATCAGCTGATAGAGTGCTGTTACACAATGATTCAAGAAGCCACTGGACAGTTGGGTGCAGATTACATATGTATATGCACGGTCTTGGTGCTGTCCTGATCTTGAGAAACTCAGGACGAGGGATTATCGAACCAGATGCCATCAATGCCTCTCCCTATTCTGACTTTTGTTCCATCTTCTAGATATCTTATACCGACTTTACAAGGATTTCGGATAGGGAGAAAGAAAACCAACAGTAAACCAACAGGGGATTGATCAGAAATATACCGGAATATACCCCGTGGCCGGATCAAGAGCTTGAACATTTGATATGAAAGGGGGCCTCTACCGTGAAAACCCCGCCTTCATGGCATCTAGTCCTGAGGAATTATCATGACTTACATCATCTCCTCTACGTGTCTTCCAGTGTCTGTCTGACGAGTTTATTAGCCGCTTTCCAACCCTTGCTCCTATGTCCAGACTCAGACCAAACTCCTACAAACGACATCACAAAAAACATTTTGTAAAAGAAAAATCCCAGTCTACAGGAAAAGAGCCGCAGAAACCTTGATCGTTGAGAATAGACGCGGGAAAAGGGACAGAGACAGAGTCATTACCTTCCTCATTCCGGCGTAAAGCGATACAGGAGGTCCGAGACTTTTACAAAGAAAGTCCTTAAGCCTTTCTCCGGGAAAAGGATATGCCTTCGGAACATGCGGCAGAGACCGCGGTGCTGTAGGACTCCGAATCGAGAGTAGAGGTAGAGATAGAGACAGAGGACTAAGAAAATCAAAACATAAACTCGAATAGTGTACAGTCCAATGGACATCTGCTCCGGTTCGATTCAGTATTTTTGAACAAACTGGTGCAGTGTTACGTACCGGGGTCAAGTTAGATCGTTCTTCAGTTTGATTTCTTTGATACAAACATCACTGACACTGAGATGAAACCGAATGAGAAATCCGGTCTGGTTCGATGATCTGTTCACCCCATGTAATCAACAGGACAATAACTTCCAAGCCTATCTGAAATAAAACGCATTGCCAAGCAGAAGAATGGACAAAAGGAAGAAGAAGCTATATATACATATGGAGAATATATCATATGGTACACAGCCTGAGTTTCAGAGAAGCAAATAATTGAGGCTCTGAGCAACAAAAAAAAAATACAAGAAAAATGCAACGGCAGCAACTATTTCTGTACATATTGAATTAAGACAGACAGAGAGAGAGAAGCTCTTTCATTACATGAAGTAACTAAGGGATGTCTTCTTCCTGGACCCGCCTTCTCCGTATAGCTCGTTCCATTGCTGAAGCTCGCTCATGTTCAACGAGTCCGACGACACACTCGCGCATACCTACATCCATTTCGTACTCCCAAAAGCCAGTGAATCTCACTGTAACATGTTTACTATGTGTGTATGTATGTATATATGGGGCCCTACCTGTTCATGGGCGATCATGAAATCATTCATGGTCAGGGGTCGGATGTCTGAGCTGTTATACAAAGGGGGCAACGGGCGGTTCTCTGCCACAGACGCATTTTTCTCCTGCAAAATTTCAATGCAATGAGCCCTCGACGATCTCACGCTGCAACATGAATCAATCTGAACCCAAAAGTACAGAGACAAAACCGACCTTCTTTTCTTTCTCCAGTATCTCTCGTATAGGACGATGTGCTGCAGTCACACACAGATTCTGGCAACCAAACGATTTTGTCGGAAATTTTTCAAGAGAAATGGGAGAGGAGAATGGTAGAGAGAGAGAAAGTAGCAGACCTTGAGGTCGCTTCCTGAATACCCGTTGGTCATATTCGCTAAAGCTTCTAAATCCACGTCAGGCAACATTTCTTCTTTAGCCAAAATCACTCTCAGGATCTTCTCTCTGTTCGCTGCATCTGGCAAATTAACCATCATCCTACACAGCAGTACACACGAGCTAATAATGATGTTCCGGCAATAGGATACAACAGGTGCATAAAAATTTAATATCCTTCATCTTCTACTACCTCCGGGGAAGCCGTCTAATAACAGCTTCATCCAGGTCAAATGGCCTGTTGGTAGCAGCCAGTACCAAAACCCGTTCTCTGTCTTTTGTGCGTAAACCATCCCAGTTTACCATGAACTCATTCTTCATCTTACGCATCGCCTCATGTTCCCCTGGATTTTCGCGCCTACCCAACATGCCATCCACCTTAAATTAAGAATTTGAGAGACAACTGCAGGAAATTTACCAGTACAAAAGAAACCATGGTCTTCTTCACAGAGGCCACCAAGATCATTGCCGTCTGCAATTGACCTATCAAACCTAACCCCAATCTTTGAAGAACCATTGCCTTCAAATGCAAGGACAACTTTCCCCTGGAAACCAATTGCTGGTCCCCTGAATAAAATAGCAGGAAAAGATAAAAGAGTTGAATTCTGATAACAACAAATAGCTGCAGAATGCAGCAACACACTAAAAAAAGGGGGATCAAAGAAATAGAAGCAATACCTCAGTGGGCCTTGAAGAGAAGAAAGTGCAGAAGGCGAAGGACCTACAAACTTCACTCGATCACCTATAAGTACAGAAGTTCTTTTAGCTAAGCAGAAAAACTGGAATGAATAGCAGCTGAAAGGAGAGGAGAATGTGATCGTGCCTGTTTTGAACGTATAAACTTTAGAAGTTGCAGTTGAACCACCGTAAAGAAAATGTAAAAGTAGAGAGTGGTACCTCATCAACAAAAATGACACACGGAGCAATCTTACTTGCTAAGGAGAAAACGGCTTTCACATACTTCTCTCCCTCACCAAACCACTGAAAGCAAACATCTAAAATTGTCATCATGTATACTAACCCAAAAATCCTCAAAGGAAGCATCATCCCTAAGTCAAGCTCATACCGTCATACCTTTGAAGTAATGCTGGACATTGATATGTTGATGAAGTTTGCACCAGCTTCGGTAGCTACTGCCTTTGCCAGCATAGTCTTCCCGGTTCCAGGGGGTCCAAACAAGAGTATACCCTTCGTAGGCTACAATAACCACATGTTATATTCAGAGAAGGAAAGAGCAACAGATACATAGCCAAAAAATGTATGTTATGGCAGGGCAGTACCTTTGTCAACTGGCCTTTGCCAAATAATTCGGGTCTCTGCAGAGGAAGCATCACCAACTCCTTCAAGGTGTCTTTAACATTTTCCAAAGCCCCAATATCATCAAACGAAACACCGATATCACTCGGTGGAATGACATCGGATAGGAGTTTTTTCTCAAATTCATTCTCAGTAACAACATCCTGTTAACACCCCAACACAATAACTGTAAAACCCAGAACTTACTAGGTTACATGGGAAACTAAAGAGGTGACGTTTTGTAGTATTACTTTCAGAGATTTCTTTATGCTCTTGCTTTCGTTTTGAATCCCATGCAAAACATCAAGGCCAAATGTAATGCTGCCATAAACACAAGAAATTTTGTGAAGGAAGGAAACATCACAACACTATCCACATTGCAAAACATACCTCAATTCCACAATGGAACGTAGAAAGAAGCTCACCTTTTTGCAGAAATGACAAGTTGGTTGTCTTTGATTGTAAATTCAGAACAGTGCATAGAATGGTGACTCAAAGCCCAGCCAACTATTTTCTCAACACCTATTAATGCACGATTTTAAGTGAGAAAAATGCTCACAGCAGAAAGACACCAATTATGAAAGACAAGTGAAGAAGGCCCACTTTCATGCGGAAGGATCTGATCTTTGATGCACAATGTTTCAAGGTCAAGACAAACCAGACGATTTTTGCTAAGAACCTGTCAGCACCACAGCAAGGACGGATTATAAGGAAAACATAACAGAAGCAATCAGGAATATATTTTAGACAGTTGAACAACTAAAGTAAGACTTACTGCACGGATGCTGCTGATATTAGCCTGAGCCTTCAAGATCAACATATCACGTTCCAGTTTCTCCTTCCACTCCAACAGCAAAGCTTCATCCTATAATGTTTTAAGAGTTCGAATGAAACTAAAAAAATCTGCTGTCAAATCCCAAGGCTCAACCTTGAACAGGCAGTGGAAACTACCAAGTTGGAATACGGTAGGGGGCAGAGGGAATTTCCCATGGAGCAGTGAAACGTGTAGAGATCGGAAAGAACTAGACAAAAAAAAAACATAAGCTTCAAACCTGAGGTAATTGGATGGCCACTTTATTCGGGAATAGTCTGGTTAGTTGTTTCATAGATTTAGGCATTTCTTTGCTCCTATCGTGCAGTCTACCCAAGTTGTTCTGTAGATGAACACAATAAATCATCCTCAACATCTTAAGGAGATAACAAATATTCGATAAAATTGAGGAAAGTCAAGGAGTATATGCATAGATATGCCATAGTTTCCCATAAAATTCAGCAAGAACTACACAGATAAAAATGCGAAATTCTCAGAGATAAGTCAGGCTACTAGTATTTGCTTCCATACCGGAAAAGCAAGGTCCAGTAATGACGTCGGGTTACCACCAAACTTGGTGAACAAGAGACCCCCCGGAAGAGACTGAAAATGAAACACACAAAAAAACTCAAACACTTTGCATACAGAACTCAAGTAAAGAATAGAGCAGCTAAAATAAACCAAACAAGAAAGAGGTAAGATTGATAGAATTTCTACTTTCTCCTTCCGGCTGTCCAACTGGGTTTGTGAGGCTATGACGACAATACCCTCAGGTAGATTCTGAAGCTTACTCTTCAAGGTTGCATACACATCAGTGTTCCCCACCAAAGATTTCTCAACATCTTTCAGGAACAGTATTAACGGCCCTCCTTCACGTTCACCAAATGCAACCTATAACATGAGTCAAAAAGTTAAAAAGCACTGTAATTACAAGGAAATGGCGTATATATACAATTACATGGAAATGAAGCATATATCACCTCGAAGATTTCATTGATGGCGAGTTTATCAGCATCATCGCTGGTAGAACTATCTAAACGAAGTGAACCAGCTGCACAATGAGGATTTCATTGCAGTGACGAACTTTCACATAAATTAAGAATTTGAGAGACAACTGCAGGAAATTTACCAGTACAAAAGAAACCATGGTCTTCTTCACAGAGGCCACCAAGATCATTGCCGTCTGCAATTGACCTATCAAACCTAACCCCAATCTTTGAAGAACCATTGCCTTCAAATGCAAGGACAACTTTCCCCTGGAAACCAATTGCTGGTCCCCTGAATAAAATAGCAGGAAAAGATAAAAGAGTTGAATTCTGATAACAACAAATAGCTGCAGAATGCAGCAACACACTAAAAAAAGGGGGATCAAAGAAATAGAAGCAATACCTCAGTGGGCCTTGAAGAGAAGAAAGTGCAGAAGGCGAAGGACCTACAAACTTCACTCGATCACCTATAAGTACAGAAGTTCTTTTAGCTAAGCAGAAAAACTGGAATGAATAGCAGCTGAAAGGAGAGGAGAATGTGATCGTGCCTGTTTTGAACGTATAAACTTTAGAAGTTGCAGTTGAACCACCGGTTATATCAGCCTCAACAATTGAAGCTGACTTCTTATGTTGCAAAGCAGCAGCCTGAGCAGCCCGTACAGCTCGTTGGGCAAGCATAGATAGCCTTTCACGCCTAGAACCTTCTCGGGAATTGGAAGAATCAACTTCCTTGGTTAGTGATCCCTGAAATCATCCAGAAATTACAGAGTCAATGCGTTTCCCAACATTTAAAACCAAACATCGGGATAAACCATAGGCTGAATGCAGAAGAGAAAAATAAATGCTGTAGAAAAGCTTACCCCAGGCAACAAAAGAGAATCAACAATCATCAATTTGGCCCCAAAATGTTTTGAAAGTGCTTTTGCCAACATTTCCTGATACACCTCAGAACCTATATAAAATAAATAAACCAAATACTAACTTTGTCAAGAAAATGGAAAGAAAAATATAGAGAAAAGGAAAAATGGCCAAAAGTATCGTCATACCAACTGGTCCAGAGAGTAATATACGAGGTCGCATTGTAGACAAGCCAGATGCATACTTCGCAAACTTGCTTCCACACTTCATATGAACATAGATTGAACCAGTCAAAACATCCTTCGTTGTTGTACTGCAAGAATCCAGGATTCATTTAGGAATTTGTAAAATCAAACTAAGCATAATGATTTCAAATCTAAGTCTAACCATGAAGAATTGGAAGAAACCAACATATTGAAATTTGTATTTATCACTGAACTTTGCAGAATCAAATACTAAAAAGAAATTATGAAGACTGCAGACCTTAAGAAATATGGGAAGTTCTCCAAAGAAACCTCTATCTTCTGTGGACTGAGTACACCTGCGCGCAGACTGTCCTTATATGCTTGACGTCTAGATGATAATAAAGCTGAAGAAATATCAAATCCTTTAAGGAAATTTCTGGCTTCCCTTTGTTCATCCAATATTTTGGAAATGCTGCCCTTTAAATCAAATTCAGAAGAAGAAGGATCCCCATGCATGTGCAAGATTGGCCTAATTTCATAACTCGAACCAGGAACATTTCCACCTCCAGTTGATTGGCAAGGATCCATTCCATTGCCCTCAGAGTTCAGACTATTGTTGGCAGCACCAGAGGTTGAAGCAACAGTTTTCTCCATTGAAGCAATAGCAGCAATATCATCGTTACTATCAGCATCATTCATGTCAACGTCTGGAATACAATCATTGCAAATAGGAGGTACCACTGGGACCTCCCGATTGGGCTGCCTGTTGGCATGAGTCGGTGGTAGAAGGGGGAAATTATGGTAGTTTGATAAAGACGCTAACATAGAAGCCCCATCCAGAGCTGAGGGATCTCCTGGTCTTGCCTCAATATGTAATCCTTTCAACGGGGCACTCCGAGCTTCAATAATGCTCAATGAAGAAGCTCTATCGCTAGCAGCTAGATTATCATCTTTAAAAGGCAGAAATATCTTATCACTTGTCAAGGAAATGTTTATGATGACCACTGATCCCAAAGGCAAGTGAGACCTAAATAACATACAAATGAATCAGAGCATGCACTCAGCAACCAAATATAGAGAAATGACATTTAACACAAAAAAGGATACATAAGCATGTTTCCCAGAGGAGCTGAAAACCAGCTCATCACCACCGCGAAGTTGAATAGTAGCTTTCCTTTGGTAATTCTTGCCATTGACCTGGACAATACCTCTGTTTCCAATTATCTCAAGAGATGCAGCTGATGGATCTCCATGCTGTAAAAAGTTGAATTATAAGCAAATGCATGTAGCCTCTTTGAATAGAAAAAGAAAAAAGGAAATGGGTCAATCGAATATCCATACCTCAGACTGCCTCAGTTCACAAAGAGTAGTACGGGGCATAGAAGAATCTTTTATAGATAAATCGCAACCACGTTGTCCAATAGTAAAGACAGGAGCTTTCATGACACGATGAGGGTTCTAAAATTGCAGAAAACCTAAAGGCCGTCAGAAACAAAAGAAGTATGGTCTCAACTCAAGAACTATGACAGGCACTGTTAAGCAGTCTTCAACTTAATGATTGTGCAAAGAGTGGACTTCACATCATTCAATATGGAATTATGGAGATATTTACAAGAAAGGTGCTAGGTCAACCAGAAAACACAGAAAAACAGGTAGATCACAGACAATCTATGAGAATTCCCAACCCAACATAAAAAACTTGAATCCGTCAAACATGTCAGACTATCGCAATTTCCCCATGCAATGCAGAAAGCTAAATTCGGTTAGACTGAAAGCCAGAGTCTTGACCGAACAAACAACACCGTATAGAGACGGAAAACCACCTAGACACAATTTCGCACCGTAAAGGCCCTATACATTAGCAACCACAAAGCCCTTGGCAAAAAATTTGGGCCTAGGTTTCAATCACGGGTTGATTTGATCTAGCATATTCTTATCACATTAGCTAACCACAAAGCCCTTGGCAAAAAAAACAATCAGACTGTGTCAACCGACCAAACACGAAAACCCACCTGAGAACACTGAGAGAGCAGCTTGCCCCATGGAGTCTTTCCAGCCCTCTTCTTCGCCGCCTTCGGTTTCTTCGTATCCACCAACACTTCACCTAAACCCCGAGCAAAACCATATGAATTCAACAACCACAAAACCCATGAAAAAGGAGACGACTTACGGAGAGAAACTCGAACAAAGAAAGCATGTAACAGCAGGAGGAAAAAAAAATCGAACCTGTGGCCGTTGGTGTCACCAATACTTCGACTTCCGCGTTGGCGTCTGTCTCAGGAATGTTCTCCGCCGCCGCCACATCAACAGTGACGGGCTTCGCCGAAACCACAGTCGGCGGATCAGGGGGGCTCGATTCCGATCCAGGATCCGAAGCCGGTCCCTGATTTTCGATCGGCACCTCGCTCGTGGACGATGACCCCGCCGGATCCGAATCCTAGGGTTTTCACGAATGGTATCATATACAAGAACAAACGAATTGGAATTCGCAAAAAAATTTATAGACCCAGATTCAAATCCGAAGTAAATAAACCCCAGAAAGAGAAAAAAAAAACTCGAATTCCGAAACAGATACGCACAGACGCGAGAGCAGCAGCGGTCGCCTCGATCTTAACTTTAGACCGCTTGCTCGGTCGAGGAGATGACGCCTCGATCTTAACCTTAGATCGCTTGCTGGATTGAGGCGAAGCACAGTGCCGCTTGGTCGCCGATGAGCTGCGCCGCGTCTCCACCATATCTTTCGTCTTCCTCTCTCGCCGGAAAAGTTTCCTCCGCCGACGCCGACGCCGCTGTCGCCGGCCGACGCTTGGGGTTCCGGTTCGGAGAGTTGGCTCGACCCAAGCAGAGAGACTCTCCGCTTTCTTGAGAGCGATGCAGAATGAAATGGGCAAACGTCAGTTGTCTTGATATTTATAAGTTAATACAGCTTCTTTGTATGTCTCAATACCTACACACATCCAACTGGTAAGGTTCCGAAATATATATATATATATATATTATTTTTTTGCCAATGCAACATAAAAAATGCGTATTTTGCGTGTTTTAAAATAAATAAATAAATGGAAAATCAGCTCCACTTGGGAAATACACACACGCAAAAGGTAATCTATTCAATAAAGGCATATTCCACTTACTGCTTATGGAAAATAAATAAATAAATAAATACAAATGGGCCAGTTACAATTTCGCCTACTTCGACTTTTTTTGCCTTAAAAAATTCATATATTCATATATACACACACACACATCACACAATTACTCGTACATATGTATGTATAGGTGGGAAGGCGTAATTATGGGGAGTTTGGTGGGACAAAAGCCATGCATGATATAAAAATAATTAATAACTATATAAAAGAAAATTAAAAATTATATTCAATATCTATTTTCCAGTCACCGGAATTCAAAACGTTTAAAAAACACCAATTTTAAAACTCTTCATCTACCAAAACACTAAGAAAACATGACATTGAAATACAGAATTCCACATTTTTTCTAGTACATTTCATTATTTTTTTCTCGTGGTATCACAGATTTTAACGTTTTGCTTTTTATATTTAATTTGAAAATAATTGAAAAATTATATTTGACTAAATATGATATAACCACATATCTTATATTATTAAGCACGTGCTCAATCAAATCTACCAAACAGTACATCACACATGAATATGCAACGATTGGGCTTTCTAAAGGCCCATTGAGTATTTTTTAGGCCCAGAAAAGAAACCCATAACCCAAGTTTCTTAAAATAAAATGAGATAATTCAAGAATGCGAAAAGAAATTCGTGGCCAAGCAAGCAAATTTTCAAGTTCAGTGACTGAAGGTTATTTCGGTCATTTCAAGTTCCTCCTTGCCTGTGAAATGAAAAAGGAGAAAAATAAAATTTCAGATAAATTAGGTCTCTCTCCAAGCGAGGAAGAGTCCCGAGTTGGCTTGGCTCGCACCTTATCTATCTCTCCGCTTATCTCTTCTCAATTCTTCAATCGACCAGAGAAAGCGTAATCTCTAAAACCCTAAACCCATCTCTTCCCCTCTCTCTCCAAGCCGGGTAAGGTAGATATATCTACCTCGCAGTAGCAGTAATGGACGCCAAGGTGGAAGCAGCAGAGACAACGCCGTACGCTTCGAGACCTTCAGGTTCTTATTCGTCTCTCTTCTTTTTCGCGTTTATACCGATTCAATTATCGGTTCATTCGTTGAAAGACTTGGGATTTATGGCAGATGAAAACTCTGCTCCCCCCGCCCCCCCCGCCGCCGCCGGTGGTGGCGATAGTGTTGGCGATGAGGTTGGCTTTCTGAGTGGCGAGGAGTTCGAGGGCGCGTCCGATAAGCCTATGAGTGTGAAGGGGAATCTCGAGAAGGTCAGTGTTGTTGGAGTCGATAATTCTGGTCCCTCGGACGTGGGCTCATTGGTTTCTCCGGTGTCCGAGAGTGTCCCGGACGATGAGAGGCCGCCGAGTTCGGAGGTCGGTGGAGATGGGGAAATTCACGAAAAGGGTGATCTTGGAAGGGGTGATCCTGTTTCCCCTGAGGTTAATTCGCCCTTATCTCCGATGTCAAAGGGTCCTTCCAATGAAGTTGGTGTTTCTGAGGAGGAGACGTTTGAGGATGCTAGGGATGGTGAGCTTGAAAATGTGAGTGTTGGTGTTGGAGAGAAGGAGGCATCGGGAGAAGGAGCTTTGGATGAGAAACCAGATTCTGATGAAATTGGGGAAGAGAAGGTTGATCAGATTGGCCATGTTGAGGACAGTGGCAATGAACTTCAACCTGGCAAGTCTACCGAGGAGGCAGAAGTGACATTGAGTGGCGAAGGAGGTTCTTTTGTGGATTCTGATGAAATTGGGGAAGAGAAGGTTGGAATAACTGAAAACGAAGTAAAGGGTGTGGAAGAAACGGATGGGCCAAAGAATGATGCGACTGATGCTGAGGTGAAAAGGGAAGGTGGTTTGGCAATAGACAGTGAAACCAGAGAGAAAAAGAGTGTATCTACTGAAAAAGCGGATGATGACCATGGAAGTGATAAGTTTCGTGATGGTGATGGTGTGAAGTTAACTGATAGGGGAGATTCCATTATAGACTGGTCTGCCGTGGAATCTGTACATGTTGATGTGGCAAAACCAGGGGTGGTGGTGGTTGGAGATGTGGAGGGAAGTGAAGAGGTGAAAGTTAAGGAGATGCCGATCATGGCTGATGATGGCGTTCTTAAAGTTGATAATAAGTTTGATCAGATTGGCAATGTTAAGGACGGTGGCAATGAACTTCAACCTTATAAATCAACTGAGGAGACGGGAGAAAGTGACTCTATTGTGGATTCCTCTACTGTGAACACTGTTTATATCAGTCCAGCTGAGCCAGGGATTGTGGTTGTCGGGAGTGAAAATGGGGAAAAAAATGCAGAGTTGGAGGAGGAGGGTAACCCATATTTAGAGGAATCAAATGATCTGACAGCTGTATATGATGGAAATCTTGAATTGGCTCCTAAAGATACAGTAGAGGTAGCCAAAGTCGAGTCTGATGGGCCAAATCTCGATGTTAATAGTCTGGAAGAGTCTGAGAATGTAAGAGATGGAGAAGGGGAAGCTCCTGTTGCTGAAAGTTCAAATCTTGGTTCAGTTGATAAAAAAGAGGAATCATCAATGGCAGCTGAGGCTAATGCAGAGGTTGGGGAAGTTGTTTCTGAAAAGAAAGTTGCTGAAGAAGGCAGCCAAGCTGCTGAGGACGTTGTTTCTACACGTGAATTCAGCGCTGAAAACAAACAATCTCTTGCAGAGTATGGATCTGAGAGTGATGAAGAGACTGACGAGATGATTTTTGGGAGTTCCGAAGCTGCAAAACAGTTCTTGGAAGAGCTTGAAAAGGCTTCTTCTGGTATGGATGCTCATTCTAACGAAGCAAACATTTCTAACAATCAGCCCGAGAGGATTGATGGTCAGATTGTAACTGATTCTGAGGATGAAGAAGACAGTGATGACGACAGAGAGGAACAATTATTTGATTCTGCGGCCTTGTCTGCCCTTTTGAAGGCAGCCACTGGCGGAAGTTCAGAAGGTGGAAATTTTACTATAACATCTCAGGATGGAACGAGGCTTTTCTCTGTGGAACGTCCTGCTGGGCTGGGATCATCCTTACGTTCTGTGAAACCTGCTGCCTCTCGACCAAACCGCGCCAGTCTCTTCGCCCAACCGAATGCCATCATAAGTGGGGAGAGCGAGATTAACTTGAGCGAGGAAGAGAGAAAGAAGTTGGAGAAGTTGCAAAGCTTGCGTGTGAAATTTCTGCGTCTGGTTCAAAGGTTGGGGCATTCTGCAGAAGATTCAATAGCTGCACAGGTTCTGTACCGGTTGGCCCTTCTTGCTGGGAGGCAAACTGGTCAATTATTCAGTCTTGATGCTGCAAAAAAGATGGCCGTGGAGCTTGAAGCTGAGGGAAAAGATGATTTGGATTTCTCTATCAACATTCTGGCCCTTGGAAAAGCCGGGGTTGGTAAAAGTGCTACGATAAATTCCATCTTGGGCGACCAGAAAGTTGACCTACTCCGGTTCGAAGATGGAATAGCCGTCGTCTCTCTGGGGTCACCATGTGTGATGGGATTCAGCCGAGGTGGAGATGAAGCTTCTTCCAATGGCGAAAAGGTGGACGTTTTCTTGGACGAGGGATCGCTCATACTAATGTCGGGAGAAGCCAGATACCTCTGGAAACACGAGATTAATCGCAAGCCCGGGTTTCAGATTTGGGACGGGACGGAGTTGGATCAGAAGCTTAGAATCTCTGTAACCCTCAGAAAGCTTTGTCCATCCTGATTCTCTCTCCCTCTCTCTGGCATTTGCCTATGAACTCTGAATCCATTGCTTTAGTTTAGTCACTTGTTTATGTGTTAGCTTTCTTAGTCACAAACACAATGAATGCAGGGTCTTGTGATATTATGGATTTTAAAGTTGGAACCTTTTTGCGCGTTTTATTAAAGGAAAAACTTTTTTTTTTTTGTCAATTTGGTTTTAGTTTATTTGTTGGGTCCGTGAATTTGTCAACGGTCACGATGAGCGGATCGTAGATCACATGGTTCGATGATCCGCCACGTGTCCTTAAGTACTATTACACTGCAGCACCGACAATATAGTGAAGTAGACAACCCCAATTGTCATGTCCTCCAATGTCCAAATCTCTCTCCATTTACATTTAGCAACTAAAAAAACTAATTCTTTCTCATTTTCTAATGCAATAAATTAGCTAAAAAAATCCCATATTCCATCCAGATTCCAGAGTAATCCACCATAAATTAAACCAATTTCTTTCTCACATCTTATACGGAAACCCAGATCTTGTCTTGAACTTGAAGACCCATCTATCAGATTCATCCCGAGAACGAAAAAAGAGTAACGTCGAAGCTGCAAAACAGTTTTTGGAAGAGCTTGAAAAGGCTTCTTCTGGTATTGATGCTCATTCTAATGAAGCAAACATTTCTAACAATCAGCCCGAGGGAATTGATGGTCAAATTGTTACTGATTCTGAGGATGAAGTAGACAGTGATGACGACAGAGAGGAACAATTATTTGATTCTGCGGCCTTGTCTGCCCTTTTGAAGGCAGCGACTGGCGGAAGTTCAGAAGGTGGAAATTTTACTATAACATCTCAGGATGGGACGAGGCTTTTCTCTGTGGAACGTCCTGCTGGGTTGGGTTCATCCTTACGATCTGTGAAACCTGGTGCCTCTCGTCCAAACCGCTCCAATCTCTTCGCCCAACCAAATGCCACCACAGGTGGGGAGAATGAGAGTAACTTGAGCGAGGAAGAGAGAAAGAAGTTGGAGAAGTTGCAAAGCTTGCGTGTGAAATTTCTGCGTCTGATGCAAAGGTTGGGGCATTCTGCAGAAGATTCAATAGCTGCACAGGTTCTGTACCGGTTGGCCCTTCTTGCTGGGAGGCAAACTGGTCAATTATTCAACCTTGATGCTGCAAAAAAGATGGCCATGGAGCTTGAAGCTGAGGGAAAAGATGATTTGGATTTCTCCCTCAACATTCTGGCCCTTGGAAAAGCCGGGGTTGGTAAAAGTGCTACGATAAATTCCATCTTGGGCGACCAGAAAGCCTCCATTGATGCTTTTCGACCTTCCACCACTTCCGTGAGAGAAATATCAGGGACAGTCGGTGGGGTCAAGATTACAGTCATTGACACCCCAGGTCTGAAGTCTTCCGCCATGGATCAAAGTACAAATTCCAAGCTATTATCATCGGTAAAGAAGGTAACCAAGAAGTGTCCCCCAGATATTGTTCTCTATGTTGACCGTCTTGATGCCCAGAACAGGGACCTAAACAATCTGCCCTTGCTACGGACGATCACTGCAAACCTCGGTTCATCCATATGGAAGAATGCCATAGTGACATTGACCCATGCTGCTTCTGCCCCTCCTGATGGGCCATCAGGAACCCCTTTGAGCTATGACGTGTTTGTTGCTCAGTGCTCGCATATTGTTCAGCAATCTATTGGCCAGGCTGTTGGTGATCTTCGTCTGATGAATCCAAGCCTGATGAATCCGGTTTCTCTTGTTGAGAATCATCCGTTGTGCAGAAAGAACCGGGATGGAGAGAAGGTTCTCCCCAATGGCCAGACTTGGAGGCCTCAGTTGTTGCTGTTGTGCTACTCCTTGAAGATTCTGTCAGAAGCAAATTCTCTGTTGAAACCTCAAGAACCTTTAGACCACCGCAAACTGTTTGGGTTCCGTGTCCGTTCCCCACCTCTCCCATACTTGTTGTCTTGGCTGTTGCAGTCTCGTACCCACCCGAAGCTCTCTGCTGATCAAGGCGGTGACAGTGTAGATTCTGACATCGAACTTGACGATGTTTCTGATTCTGAGCAGGAAGATGGGGATGGTGACGAGTACGATCAGCTTCCGCCCTTTAAGCCTCTTAGAAGAAGCCAGCTTGTCAAACTGACAAAGGAACAGAGAAAGGCTTACTATGAAGAGTATGATTACCGGGTGAAGCTCCTGCAGAAGAAGCAGTGGAGGGAGGAGTTGAGGAGAATGAGGGAAATGAAGAAAAAGGGGAAGAAGGCTGGTGAAAATGAGTACGGCTACTTGGGAGAGGAGGAGGACCCGGAAAATGCTGCTCCAGCCGCTGTGCCAGTTCCTTTACCCGATATGGTCCTTCCCCCTTCGTTTGACGGTGATAACCCAGCTTTCCGTTACCGTTTCTTGGAACCCACTTCCCAGCTACTCACCAGGCCAGTGCTGGACACCCATGGCTGGGACCATGATTGTGGATACGACGGTGTCAATGTGGAACACAGTCTTGCTGTAGCAAACCGTTTCCCTGCTGCAGTTACCGTCCAAGTCACCAAGGACAAGAAGGAATTCAATATCCATCTGGATTCCTCGGTCTCCGCTAAGCACAGTGAGAATGGATCCACCATGGCCGGGTTCGATATCCAGAACGTAGGTAAGCAGCTGGCGTATGTTGTCAGGGGAGAAACCAAGTTCAAGAACTTGAAGAAGAACAAGACAACACTTGGAGGGTCGGTCACGTTCTTGGGTGAGAACGTTGCAACCGGTGTCAAACTCGAGGACCAGATCACAGTCGGGAAACGGCTCGTCCTCGTGGGCAGCACCGGTACCATGCGATCACAGGGCGACTCAGCGTATGGCGCGAACCTCGAAATCAGGCTGAGAGAAGCTGATTTCCCAATAGGCCAAGACCAATCATCTCTCGGGCTGTCTCTGGTGAAGTGGAAAGGTGATTTAGCCCTCGGAGCTAACCTCCAATCTCAAGTCTCAGTGGGAAGGCACTCCAAGATCGCCGTTCGTGCCGGTCTGAACAACAAAATGAGCGGACAAATCACTGTCAGAACCAGCAGTTCCGATCAGCTGCAGATTGCACTGGCAGCTATTATTCCCATTGCCATAGCCATCTACAAGAGCATCCGACCAGGAGGAGATACGAGCGAGAAGTACTCCATGTACTGAAACATGTCTGCATGCAATTTCCTTGGCCGGAGAAGGATGAATCTTTAGGTTATGAATTGTACGCAATGCTTTTGTTTTGTCCCTTCAATAAAAACCCTTATGAGATTAGGACAAAGTTGTATTTTCTTCTATTGAGATGCACAACACTTCAGGATTATCCATAGTTCCTCTTGAACATGATCATCATTCAAATTCTTCCTGCGATAACTCTGATCTTTCCCTTGGCTGAATCTCCTAAAGTCTCACACTTTCCACTAAATCCTGATTCCCTTTTGCCAAAGTCGGAATCTTTTTGGTTCGGCCTGCGGTTTGTCAAAGTCTGCGACTCTATCAATAGCGATTAACGTTTTCAGAAGCCCATTTTGAGGCCCAGTCCATAAAAGAGGCCCATAGTCCAAGTTTCTTTAAATAAAATAAGGAGATGATTCAAGATAATTGTTATAACCAAGGAAAAGAAACATATGGCCAAGCAAATTTGGAGATAAGGAAATCAGGGAAATTTGGAGTTCACTGACTTAAGGTTATTTCGGTCATTTCATCCTTCCTGCTTACTGCTACTGGTGAAATGAAAAGAATCCCGAGTTGGCTCACCTTATCTGTCTCCCCGCTTCTCTCCTTTGCTGTCGTCGAAGAGAAGCGATTCTCAGTTCTTCAATCGACCAGAGAGCGTAATCTCTAAAACCCTATCTCCATCTCTTCCCTTTCTCTCTCCAAGCAGGTGGAGGTAGATATATCTACCTCGCAGTAGCAGTAATGGACGCCAAGGAGGAAGCAGCAGAGACAACGCCGTACGCCTCGAGACCTTCAGGTTCTTATTCGTTTCTCTCTTCTTTTTCGTTTGTATCCTGATTCAATTTTCGGTTCAATCGTTGAAAGCCTTGGGATTTATGGCAGATGAGAAATCTGCTCCTCCCGCCTCCCCCGCTGCCGCCGGTGGTGGCGATAGTGTTGGCGACGAGGTTGGCTTTCTGAGTGGTGAGGCGTTCGACGCCGCGTCCGATAGGTCTCTGAGTGTGGCGGAGAATTTCGGGAAGGTCAGTGTTGTTGGAGTCGATAATTCTGGTCCCTCGGACATGGGCTCATTGGTTGCTCCGGTGTCCGTGAGTGTCCCGGACGATGAGAGGCCGCCGAGTTCAGAGGTCGGTGGCGACGGGAATATTCCCGAGAAGGGTGATCTTGGAAGGGGTGATGCTGTTTCCCCCGAGGTTAATACGTCGTTATCTCCGATGCCAGAGGGTCCTTCCAATGAAGTTGATGTTTCCGAGGAGAAGGAGACGTTTGAGGATGCTAGGGAAGGTGAGCTTGAAAATGCGAGTGTTGACATTGGAGAGAAGGACGCATCAGGAGAAGGAGCTTTGGATGTGAAACCAGATTCTGATGAAACTGGGGAAGAGAAGGTTGATCAGATTGGTCATGTTGAGGACAGTGGCAATGAACTTCAACCTGATAAGTATACTGAGGCGGCAGAAGTGACATTGAGTGGCGAAGGAGGTTCTATTGTGGATTCCTCTACCGTGAACTCTGTTGATATCAGTCCAGCTGAGCCAGGGATTGTTGTTGTCGGGACTGAAAATGGGGAAAAGGATGCAGAGTTGGAAGAGAAGTGTAACCCATATTCAGAGGAACCTGATGATCTGACAGCTGCATATGATGGAAATTTTGAATTAGCTGCTAAAGATACAGTAGAGACAGCCAAAATGGAGTCTGATGGGCCAAACCTCGATGTAAGTGGTCCGGCAGAGTCTGAGAATATAAGAGATGGAGAAGGGGAAGCTCCTGTTGCTGAAAGTTCAAAACTTGGTTCAGTTGATAAAAAAGAGGAACCATCAATGGCAGCTGAGGCTAATGCAGAGGATGGAGAAGTTGTTTCTGAAAAGAAAGTTGCTGAAGAAGGCAGCCAAGCTGAGGACATTGTTTCTACACGTGAATTTAGCGCTGAAAACAAACAACTTCTGGCAGAGTATGGGTCTGAGAGTGATGTGGAGACTGACGAGATGATTTTTGGGAGTTCCGAAGCTGCAAAACAGTTTTTGGAAGAGCTTGAAAAGGCTTCTTCTGGTATTGATGCTCATTCTAATGAAGCAAACATTTCTAACAATCAGCCCGAGGGAATTGATGGTCAAATTGTTACTGATTCTGAGGATGAAGTAGACAGTGATGACGACAGAGAGGAACAATTATTTGATTCTGCGGCCTTGTCTGCCCTTTTGAAGGCAGCGACTGGCGGAAGTTCAGAAGGTGGAAATTTTACTATAACATCTCAGGATGGGACGAGGCTTTTCTCTGTGGAACGTCCTGCTGGGTTGGGTTCATCCTTACGATCTGTGAAACCTGGTGCCTCTCGTCCAAACCGCTCCAATCTCTTCGCCCAACCAAATGCCACCACAGGTGGGGAGAATGAGAGTAACTTGAGCGAGGAAGAGAGAAAGAAGTTGGAGAAGTTGCAAAGCTTGCGTGTGAAATTTCTGCGTCTGATGCAAAGGTTGGGGCATTCTGCAGAAGATTCAATAGCTGCACAGGTTCTGTACCGGTTGGCCCTTCTTGCTGGGAGGCAAACTGGTCAATTATTCAACCTTGATGCTGCAAAAAAGATGGCCATGGAGCTTGAAGCTGAGGGAAAAGATGATTTGGATTTCTCCCTCAACATTCTGGCCCTTGGAAAAGCCGGGGTTGGTAAAAGTGCTACGATAAATTCCATCTTGGGCGACCAGAAAGCCTCCATTGATGCTTTTCGACCTTCCACCACTTCCGTGAGAGAAATATCAGGGACAGTCGGTGGGGTCAAGATTACAGTCATTGACACCCCAGGTCTGAAGTCTTCCGCCATGGATCAAAGTACAAATTCCAAGCTATTATCATCGGTAAAGAAGGTAACCAAGAAGTGTCCCCCAGATATTGTTCTCTATGTTGACCGTCTTGATGCCCAGAACAGGGACCTAAACAATCTGCCCTTGCTACGGACGATCACTGCAAACCTCGGTTCATCCATATGGAAGAATGCCATAGTGACATTGACCCATGCTGCTTCTGCCCCTCCTGATGGGCCATCAGGAACCCCTTTGAGCTATGACGTGTTTGTTGCTCAGTGCTCGCATATTGTTCAGCAATCTATTGGCCAGGCTGTTGGTGATCTTCGTCTGATGAATCCAAGCCTGATGAATCCGGTTTCTCTTGTTGAGAATCATCCGTTGTGCAGAAAGAACCGGGATGGAGAGAAGGTTCTCCCCAATGGCCAGACTTGGAGGCCTCAGTTGTTGCTGTTGTGCTACTCCTTGAAGATTCTGTCAGAAGCAAATTCTCTGTTGAAACCTCAAGAACCTTTAGACCACCGCAAACTGTTTGGGTTCCGTGTCCGTTCCCCACCTCTCCCATACTTGTTGTCTTGGCTGTTGCAGTCTCGTACCCACCCAAAACTCTCTGCTGATCAAGGCGGTGACAGTGTAGATTCTGACATCGAACTTGACGATGTCTCTGATTCTGAGCAGGAAGATGGGGAAGCTGACGAGTACGATCAGCTTCCGCCCTTTAAGCCTCTTAGAAGAAGCCAGCTTGCCAAACTGACAAAGGAACAGAGAAAGGCTTACTATGAAGAGTATGATTACCGGGCAAAGCTCCTGCAGAAGAAGCAGTGGAGAGAGGAGTTGAGGAGAATGAGGGAAATGAAGAAAAAGGGGAAGAAGGCTGGTGAGAATGAGTATGGCTACTTGGGAGAAGAAGAGGACCCGGAAAATGCTGCTCCAGCCGCTGTGCCGGTTCCTTTACCCGATATGGTCCTTCCCCCTTCGTTTGACGGTGATAATCCGGCTTACCGTTACCGTTTCTTGGAACCCACTTCCCAGCTACTGACCAGGCCAGTGCTGGACACCCATGGCTGGGACCATGATTGTGGATACGATGGTGTCAATGTGGAACACAGTCTTGCTGTTGCAAACAGTTTCCCTGCTGCGGTTACTGTCCAAGTCACCAAGGACAAGAAGGAATTCAATATCCATCTGGATTCCTCGGCTTCCATTAAGCACGGTGAGAATGGATCCACCATGGCTGGGTTCGATATCCAGAACGTAGGTAAGCAGCTCGCATATGTTGTCAGGGGAGAAACCAAGTTCAAGAACTTGAAGAAGAACAAGACAACTCTCGGAGGGTCAGTCACTTTCTTGGGTGAGAACGTTGCAACCGGTGTCAAACTCGAGGACCAGATCGCAGTCGGGAAACGGGTCGTCCTCGTGGGCAGCACCGGTACCATGCGCTCACAGGGTGACTCGGCCTATGGGGCGAACCTCGAAATCAGGCTGAGAGAAGCTGACTTCCCAATAGGCCAAGACCAATCATCTCTTGGGCTGTCTCTGGTGAAGTGGAGAGGTGATCTAGCCCTCGGAGCTAACCTCCAATCCCAAGTCTCGGTGGGAAGGCACTCCAAGATCGCGGTTCGTGCCGGTCTGAACAACAAAATGAGCGGACAAATCACTGTCCGAACCAGCAGTTCTGATCAGTTGCAGATTGCACTGGCAGCTATTCTTCCCATCGCCATGGCCATTTACAAGAGCATCCGACCCGGGGGAGGTACGAGCGAGAAGTACTCCATGTACTGAAACATACCTGTAAGCGATCTCCTTGGCCGCCGGCGAATCTGAAATTCCGGTGTAACGCCAGGGAAGGATCTTTAGGTTATGAGTTGTACGCAATGTTTTTGTTTTGTCCCTTCATTCAAAACCTTTGAGAGATTTTGGCGAAGTTGTATTTTCTTCTGTTGAGACGCACACTTCAGGATTATCTAAAGTTTTTTCTCCTCCACAAACAGTGTACTTCAAGTTCTTCGTATAAATCGAGACTTGTCCTGTGTATTGCCAAAGTCGAAATCTTTTTGGTCAATCACAGAATGCGTCAAAGACTACGACTTTCCTATAAATTAGCGATTAACGTTTTCGGGTTCTGGAGGAGAAGCCCATGGATGATGATCAGATTCAGTCGGAGGTGTTGAAGGCGGCTTTCGGCGAGTCATCGGACGGTGAGGATTTCGCCGATCAAACACAAGATGGAAATTGCAGAACGGAAGATCCGGTGTTATGGGAACAGGTCGAGGAGATCAATGGCTTGTGGATCTGTCGGAACTTCCTCTCTTCGCATCACCAGTCTTCTCTGCTCTCCGCCATTCTCAACGGTGAATTCTCTCTCTGTTTCTGTTCTTCTTCTTTCCAATTCGGTTGTGCGACATGTTTTGCTGATTTAACGGTTGAATGTTTCACAGAAGGTTGGTTCGCTGAAGAATCTCATAACCAGGTGCCAACCCTAATCCCTTTTGATTAGATTTTACATCAGGATTCATCTTCCATTGTGTATTTCGCCCATATGTATCGTTCTTCCTCTGCTCCTTGAATGAACTGTTAGGCGTTTTAGTGTCTCTTTACTTGGGAAACTGCTAAGGCCTCGCCTTTTGAATCTGTGAATGTGACCATCTGCCATGGAAACCACCCGACTATGAATGAGCTAAAATAGCTGGGAATCCTGGTTTATTGCTCTGACCTTCTGGCTTGAGAATATCAAATCAACTTGGTTGGGTCGATTTCCTACTCATATGATCATATCATGTTTCTTGATTGAATTAGATAACACCACTAGATTCTGTTCATGTAAACTGGGCCTTTTTGGTGCTAGTGTTAGTGCTTTTGGATGTTTTTTGTTTTTTTTAAGGCTATGAGATTCGGTGATCTTCCATCATGGGCGATCAAACTATCCGATTCCATACGCGACGCTGTTGAATCGATCAATCCAGATGCTATTAACAATTCGAGTGCTGAAATGTCGGTTCTGCCTCTGCCTACCGATTTACTTTGGAGGGAGCCTCTTTTCGACCAGCTGATTGTGAATATGTACAAACCAGGTGAGGTGAGTTTCCATCTCATATCACTTTTCTGCTACATCTCCATCTTTCCCTGATGTTGCATCCATCTCTATCTCGCTATATCTCCATCTTTGCCGGTCTAGTGGGTGTGGCAATAGATACTGAAATGGCTGGCTTTAATGGATGATGATGATGATGATGGTAATGTGGTATGGGGACAGGGCATATGTGCACATGTTGACCTACTCCGGTTCGAAGATGGAATAGCCGTCGTCTCTCTGGGGTCACCATGTGTGATGGGATTCAGCCGAGGTGGAGATGAAGCTTCTTCCAATGGCGAAAAGGTGGACGTTTTCTTGGACGAGGGATCGCTCATACTAATGTCGGGAGAAGCCAGATACCTCTGGAAACACGAGATTAATCGCAAGCCCGGGTTTCAGATTTGGGACGGGACGGAGTTGGATCAGAAGCTTAGAATCTCTGTAACCCTCAGAAAGCTTTGTCCATCCTGATTCTCTCTCCCTCTCTCTGGCATTTGCCTATGAACTCTGAATCCATTGCTTTAGTTTAGTCACTTGTTTATGTGTTAGCTTTCTTAGTCACAAACACAATGAATGCAGGGTCTTGTGATATTATGGATTTTAAAGTTGGAACCTTTTTGCGCGTTTTATTAAAGGAAAAACTTTTTTTTTTTTGTCAATTTGGTTTTAGTTTATTTGTTGGGTCCGTGAATTTGTCAACGGTCACGATGAGCGGATCGTAGATCACATGGTTCGATGATCCGCCACGTGTCCTTAAGTACTATTACACTGCAGCACCGACAATATAGTGAAGTAGACAACCCCAATTGTCATGTCCTCCAATGTCCAAATCTCTCTCCATTTACATTTAGCAACTAAAAAAACTAATTCTTTCTCATTTTCTAATGCAATAAATTAGCTAAAAAAATCCCATATTCCATCCAGATTCCAGAGTAATCCACCATAAATTAAACCAATTTCTTTCTCACATCTTATACGGAAACCCAGATCTTGTCTTGAACTTGAAGACCCATCTATCAGATTCATCCCGAGAACGAAAAAAGAGTAACGTCTGGAGAAGATGATCGAGAGGTGTTTGGGAGCTCACCGCTGTCGGAAAATCCAGAGAGCCCTCCGCCACCTGAAGGTTACGGTCCTCTGTCTCGTCCTCACGGTCGTCGTCCTGCGTGGCACCATCGGCGCCGGGAAATTCGGAACCCCGGAGCAGGACATCGCCGAGATCCGAGAACATTTTTACACGCGCAAACGCGCCGAGCCCCACCGCGTCCTTGTAGAAGTCCAGACCGGAGAATCCTCCTCCGGCGGCGGAGATGGCGGCGGCGGCGGGTCAGAAGGAAGCAACAATTACGAGACGTTTGACATCAACAAGATCTTTGTGGACGAAGGAGAGGAGGAGAAACCTGACCAGAATAAACCGTACTCTCTCGGACCCAAAATATCCGATTGGGACGAGCAGAGATCCGAATGGCTGAAAAAGAATCCTAATTTCCCGAATTTCCTCGGACCCAACAAGCCTCGAGTGCTGTTGGTAACTGGGTCTGCGCCTAAACCGTGCGAGAACCCTGTCGGAGACCACTACCTCCTGAAATCGATCAAGAACAAGATCGATTACTGCAGGTTACACGGGATTGAGATCTTCTACAACATGGCTCTTCTCGATGCGGAAATGGCGGGTTTCTGGGCGAAGCTCCCGTTGATCCGGAAGCTCCTGCTTTCGCACCCTGAGATCGAGTTCCTGTGGTGGATGGACAGTGATGCCATGTTTACGGACATGGCCTTCGAGCTTCCATGGGAAAGGTACAAGGATTACAACCTCGTGATGCACGGATGGAACGAGATGGTTTACGATCAGAAGAACTGGATTGGGTTGAACACCGGAAGTTTCCTGCTTAGGAACTGTCAATGGGCGCTTGATTTGTTGGATACTTGGGCTCCGATGGGTCCCAAAGGGAAGATCCGTGAAGAAGCAGGTAAGCTTCTGACACGGGAGCTCAAGGATCGACCTGTCTTCGAAGCTGATGATCAGTCCGCAATGGTTTATCTGCTCGCTACCCAGCGAGAGACTTGGGGCAACAAGGTAATGTCGTATTCTCTGTCTGAAATCCAGCTAAGCTTGGGTTCATAATGCTCACACTTAAGACATACATAACTGTGTGACTTTTGAGTATCAGAAGATCTAGAATATCAAAATTCTGCAGCTTTTGGTTGAGTTTGCTGATTCATTGAATTCGAGCAGTCAAATCAAATGTGCATGTGAAGCTACTTGTGTCTTTTTCTCTGATGATGTCAACCTTTCATGATCAGGAAGATCATAAGATCATAATGTAGATCTCTATCTGCATAGTTTTAGGTACCTTTAAGCTTGTGGATGAAGGGAACTCAAAGTCAAGATCTTAACTTGACAGTTGCCGATGTTTAAGTACATATGGCTAGAGTTACTTGCTTGTCAGACTAATCATTTGGCCATGTATTTGCAATATGGAACTGACACTTAACTCTGCAACGATGCCGTCGCTTCAGGTCTACTTGGAAAGCGCGTATTATCTGCACGGATACTGGGGAATTCTTGTGGACCGATATGAAGAGATGATCGACAACTACCACCCGGGTCTCGGTGACCATAGATGGCCACTGGTTACCCACTTTGTGGGTTGCAAGCCCTGCGGGAAGTTCGGGGATTACCCGGTGGAACGGTGCCTGAAACAGATGGACAGAGCATTTAACTTTGGCGACAACCAGATTCTGCAGATATACGGCTTCACTCACAAGTCTCTGGCAAGCCGAAGAGTGAAGAGAGTCAGGAACGAGACAAGCAACCCTCTAGACGTGAAAGACGAGCTCGGGTTGCTCCACCCGACGTTCAAGGCGGTTAAGGTTCAGACCAATCCGGTTTGATGGCTGGATTTAGGACTCAGGTCTCTTCTCTTTCTATCCTCTATCCTCTGTCTCTTGTCTTTTGCTGTACTGTTTTTGTACTATGGATTGGTATACTCCTGTACTGTGCAGAGACATCCGTATTCTTTGGTTCCTTGTTTAAGTCTTAAGAGCTCTATAATGAAACCGCTGTCAGTTTGTTTCTTCTCCCCCATTGCCTTTCCCTGTTCCAAGTTTCATTGACAAGAATTTTCACTTGGGCACTGCTTCATTATGTCAGATCTATCTTTGTAATGGATCTCAAACACAGATACATTCTTATTCGTATTCTTTAACATATGTCTTCACGTACATAAAAAGAAGGAATAGGAGACAGAAGCTACAGAGAGAGAGAGAGAGAGAGAGAGAGAGAGAGAGAGAGAGAGAGAGGGAGATGAAGAAAAGAGCTTTGGAGTCCTTTCAACTACGGCAACGGGCGATGGCGCTGCAGCCACGGCTGTAGGGGTTGGCTTGAGCTCCTGCCCGGCAGTTGTAATAGCTGGCCCCTCTTCTCGAGCAGGGGATGCTGTTCCGCTGCAAGGCTTGGTAGCTTATGTAGTCGGTGGTGGCCAGTATCCTCCGGTTGATCTCTGAGTCCATCTCGAACTCGCCATCGCACTCGGCGGTCGAGCCATGGCAGCCTCCGGCTGTAGCCCATCCGAGGCTCATGTCTCCCATGGATCCGGCTTGGGCCGGTGGTGAAGCAATGGTTAGGAGGAGGAAGAGGACAATGACCAGAGTTAAGGACTTAGCCATTTTTGTTGGTGGAGACTTTTTTTTTTTTGGTTTGGTCTTCGTGTAGGTTGTGTCTTATGGTATATGGTTTATATATATATAAGAGAAGAAGATGGTGGGATTGAAACTTGGTAAATCCTCCAAACTCTAATGTTTTTATTTTATTTTATTTTGTAATTACAAATATGATTCCACTCTGTCAAATACAATATATATATATATATATGTATGTATATGTGTGTGTATGATGAAATTTCTGATGACAAAGGTTATAAAGTTCAATTTTGAAATCATTTTTTACTCTGTGGTGTGAATGACGTCAGGGCTTGTCATATTATTAACCCGAAGTATTTCTGTAATTTATGGTAATTTTTATTTAATTGATCAACACAACTGCACCCTTGACTTGGAAATAAATTTATATATATAATATGGAATTGGAGATTTTGTTGGGAGTGGTTTGGATTATTTTATTTATAAAAATGAATAAGACTATATTATATTTATTTATTAATGACTCGCTGGTTGTTCTCCAAACATATTATTTTCTTTGTTCTTTTCGGTGGGTCATTTTGTCACATATATGAATGGTCAACCTTACATTATAATTTGCGTTTTGATAAAATTTTGAACGAGTCTCAATCATAAGTACTAAACACATTGAATCTAGATGAATTATATTATATACATATAATAATTTTCTGCAGATATCACAACATGTTGCTAATGGGTGCATTAAACACAATAAAGTTTGTTAATTTGTGTATTTATTAGGAATATTTTTTTTTCTCCGGAATTCTCTAACCACCGGGAAAAGAGTTGGACCGTCGCTATCCCAACAAGGCAAAGAAAACAAAGACAATATGAACTTTGAGTGATTAATTATAATCTTTATAATAAACTATGATTAACTTTTAATCAAACTCTAATCACACCCTCTCCCACCCAAAACCAAACGCGTTTTTCCCAATCCATCCTTTACCCACTCCAACTATTCCATTTGAATTTTGAAGTACACATACAACAACAACCCATGAGACAGCAACAACAACGGTAAGGCTAAATCCAGATTCCGTGGCTCGGAAGCAAACGAGCTTCCCCTTCTTCTGCTTCTTCCAGTTTAGGGTTTACCCTACTTACCGTTCTAACTTGCTGAGCAAGGCATCCATTGGTGGGAGTTCCTTCAAAATCTCAGCCCAGTCAGGCATGCCCTGAAAACAGAGTGTTTCTTAATGCTTTCCTTTTAATGTGCTCTTCCACTGATCTAATGCTTCGGACAGCAAATACAAACCACTCCAACATGTACTGAGTATACTTCCCAATCAAGAGGCATGATGCATCAGAATGGCAACCCTTACCGAATAGATTGCGAAAGCGTGAAAACAGTATGATCACGAAAAACTTACTTTCCCTGATCTTCGAACCCGACCATCTAGCCGCAGTATGATGTACACGTCCTCGCCCGGAACAACTCCTTCAGAATCCTGCTGATCTCTTATCCACCTATCGAGAGTTCACCCATTTAAACAAAACTCAGTTCAGCATTCGAAAGTTCTTCATCATTTTTATCAAGTAAGAAGGAAGGGTGGAAGAAAAGATCCAACCTCTCCCATTCACCAGGTGACACAACCTCTGCCCTGAAACGGATCTCGGCTTTCAACTTTGACTTGGCAACAATTGACTGGGCTCTTTTATCAAAATCTTCCTACGATTTTGCAGATTCAGAAAAGCATGTAAGAATCCACTGCGTTTCGAAACGAGAGAGATTTAACGGAAATACTGTGTTCTTGTTCATACCCCAATCGAGGGAAGAGATGTAGCTGCCTTTTGAGAAGCTCCAAATCCTTTCTTCTCAGCTTCTGGTGTTCTACTTTCACCCCAGAACACGGGAACTAGGAGAACACCACGTCTAAGGAGCTCAGTTCGGAACCTCTCTGCCTTTTGCATTGCAAGTGTAACAGTCTCTTTCTTTCCAGCTAAAATAACCTAACAGTTATGGCCACTAAAGTTATCAAAATCCTAAAAAAAAGGCTGATGAATCAGTTGAGAGTATTTCAAGCGCAACACAAATCAGCAAAGGGAAACTCACAGGTCGAACTGTGTCTCGTAGCTGGACAAGTTCAACAACACGATTGGTAGAAAGCCGTAGTGGCAACCGAGAAAGGGTTTCATCGCGAGTTATTTGAGCAATCTGTTCTTCCTCTTTCTTGTTGTCCCAGAACAACAACGCAACCAGAACAACAATACCTGTAAATTGCTGTTCCAAAAGCTTAGTCACTTAAGATAAAGAGTTCCTTTTTTCTTCTACGATAAAAGAAGGTGCAAACTAATAATTTACACTACAACAAAACAAAACAGCTCCTTTCACTCACCTCCGATATTGATGGCAGCATTTCCAGCAGTTTCCAGAAGATCAGGAGCATCATCACCACCGCTAATAGCACGTATCAATCTAGGTATGGTAAAGAATGTTGAAATTCCTGCAGCTGCTGTGAATGCAAGATAAAAGAATCTCCGAATCCCACGAAACGGTGCACGCACCTCGCTGATGAGCTTTAGATCTCGTCTAAAACCATAGCCTATATCTTCCCCACCTAACCTGGCCTGTAAATATGAAAGTAGGATTTACCCAATGACAGTAAAATATTCCAAGCTTCATCAATGCAATAGAAGGTGAATATGTTTTCTTCACATTGTTTCGGTATACGGTAAAATAAAACCAAGAAAGTAATCATCTTTTACCCCAAGGATAGGGCTTAGAAATTCTTTTTGAGCATAATAACAGAATGAAAGTAAGCATATGCGAAGAAAAAACCAAGAGTAGGGGACCTCTTCCTGCAGTTCCTTAAACTCGGGCAATGCTCGGAAGGATGCTAAGTCGGGATCATTAAGAATCGTGCCAAACTTGAGATTATAATCTCTCAAAGCAACTCGTAAGCACTCGGCAGCTTTTTTCCCTTCACCCCTAACTCGAGAATACAACAATAGAGAGGGAAAAAACACATTATCGAAACATTTGTGATTCTTGTCAATTTCATCAGCAAGTAGCTCAGGCTTCTTACCGGTAAGCATGACAACATGCTTTGTTATAGAAAGCAGCTTGGGCTTCCACAGGATTGGGATCCAAACTTAGAGCTGTTTCAAACTGGACAAGAGCATCTTTAACCTGGAACCAAATCCAATGTCCAAACAAAACAGATGGAATCCATTAACAAGGTTCGCCTGCAACTGTTTTATGTACTACTACTGTACGCCATTGCAACTATCCATCATTCATTTCTTGTAAGAACAGCAATGTTTTTTGTTAAAGAAGAACAACAATGTTCTTCATCTCGGATTGGAAAGCATGAACTTCCATGAAGTATCAAGTACTAGTCATCGACATATGAATATAAACCCATGATTGGAAAACGCCAAACTGATTGACGAAGAAAAAGCTTCTCGAAAAATTCCCATGGAACAAACGAATTTAACACGAATCCTAGTCACCCATTTTACCTACGATCACGAGATTATCAGAGACTGCTCCCATCGAAATCAATCAAGAATCGAACTGAATTATCGGTATGAAACAATCTCCAGAAACATCAAGTAATCCACGAATTGTGGAACCAGAGGAAACCGAATAGACTCTCCAACTCACCCGTCCTCTCTTGAAGAGATCGAGGCCCTCGTTGACGCAAGACTCCGCCGTGAGGGCATCCGACCGAGAGGTCGTAGAAGAAGACGCCGAAGGAGGAGGAGGAGGAGGCGAAGAAGAAGAGGAAGCGAAAACAAGGAGATGGGAGCCCTTGATTTGGCGGGAATCCAAGAGGGTAATCTCTCGTCGTAGCCATGGCCGTCGTCTATCTGCTCTCGAACAAGGGTTCGAGACGCAGCTTAGCAAATGGTGGCTCCGGCC